TTGAATCCGGTAGCGCCCGATAGATTTTTTTGTATAGGTCTCTATGGGGTATTTTAAGCAGGGATTAATTAAAATTTTAAATTTGAATATTGTTATCTAAAGGTAAAAATAAAAGTTTGTACGTGTCACGCTTTGCAATTAATCTTTACTAGGCTCCTGCGTCGCTCACCCCACAAACTTCCAGCTCGCCAGTAAAAATTCATTTACAAAGCTTGACACATAAATAACTATTAAAGATGTCAAATCCGCTTTTAAATTGTAAACAGCTGTCCAGTTTACCCGTAATTTACGTACTTCTATAATATAAAGCTCCCAGTACTTTTTCAGTGATTTTATTGTACTGTGTGATCTGGCAATACGCATTTTGATAGTCTATTTGTATAGGACAAAATGCACTCTAAATATCCAGGGCAACTTTCGCAGAAGATTTACATATAACTAGAGCAGGGTACCGTTAAAAGATTAGCCTTAGTATCAAGAACAGAAAGGCATATTTTTCTCAAAATGAATTTTTTGACAAAACTCATTTTGTCAAAAATATTTTAGAAGAATTTTATTGTTAACTGAATTCGGCCAAAATGTTCACATTTAAAAAAAGGCGTCAACTTTTCAAAACGAGTGTTCACACGACAATGTGATTTCGCATGGAATTTGCGACTTGCACATTGTCATTGAAGACTTCAGGGGAAAAAGCTGTCATGTAACAAATGCATTTAAAAAATGTTTTACAGTAGTTTTTAATGTTGCAAATAGATTTTTATTTTTTGAAAAGATTTTGGTAGTAGTTATATCGAATGTTTAGTAAAAATATGTTTTCTCAAAACACATAAGACTTTGTGGAAATAAATTCAAATGTATTTTTTTAAATTTTTTAACAAAGGGGGTAGCGGGTTAAGGGGGGTCTGGCGGCCCCCACCGAATCTGGTAAAATCGTTCCAAAAATCTTTAATTTATTTTTAAATGGTTTAAACGCAATTAAAAATTTGTTTTGGATATATGGAAGTCCACTGAATTTTTTCAGATTTTTTGGTCAAGTAAAAACATGTGAATTTTGGGTTTAAATGCGAAAAAATCGTGAAAAACGCGTCATTTTCAAGATTCAAACCTCTAATTTTTAGGGTTGTTTTCATTTTCCCGAGGGGTGCTGTATAGTATAGATAGCGGCAATCGTCCTCTTTTGAATGCAGGCCACTGGACTCAATTTGGTCAATTCTGGTGAGCGGGGCGATTTTTTGAAAAAAACTCGAATTTTCAACTTTCGGTAAATTACGGCGCGTACTTGGTATAATGCGTCTTTGCTATAAAAAATACATCTCTATAGGGGTTTTTGAGGTCGCGAATTGTTTAACTGCTGTGATTCAATGATTTTTTTTACATTATCAAACCTGTGTTAATAAATATTTATGGGTGAATTTGTTGTCAAAAAATTTTTTTGACATCAAATTCGTGATCAGCGACCTCAAAAACCCCTATAGAGATGTATTTTTTATAGCAAAGACGCATTATACCAAGTACGCGCCGTAATTTACCGAAGTTGAAAAATCGAGTTTTTTTCAAAAAATCGCCCCGCTCACCAGAATTGACTAAATTGAGTCCAGTTGCCTGCATTCAAAAGAGGACGATTGCCGCTATCTATACTATACAGCACCCCTCGGGAAAATGAAAACAACCCTAAAAATTTTAGGGTTGAATCTTGAAAATGACGCGTTTTTCACGATTTTTTCGCATTTAAACCTAAAATTCACATGTTTTTACTTGACCAAAAAATCTGAAAAAATTCAGGGGACTACCATACATCCAAAACAAATTTTTAATTGCGTTTGAACAATTTAAAAATAAATTAAACCGGTTGAAAAAAATAAAAATCACAATTACTGTGTTTTCGTTTGGGGTTGTAATGTCGGTAAAAAGCTTATACTGCTTGTTTTTCGACCCTCTTCAAGATTTTTGGAACGATTTTACCAGATTCGTTGGGGGCCACCAGACCCCGCTTAACCTGCTACCCCCTTTATATATCTTTGTTTATTAAGCTATATAAATAGAGTTTAGGTTTTTTTGTTTGTTTGTTTGTTGTATAAAAATATAAATGTATGATTCTTTAATACTGCGTAAATAATAAAATTTAATAGCAAAAAACACAAGTCAATTTAAAGAATAAAACTTAAGATAGACAAAAAACTCTTTAAATAGCTAAAATAAAAAAATAATGGGTCTTATATAAGAATATCGATAATTATTTTTTGATGTAAAAAAAAAATCGATACATTTTTAAATATATTGAATTAAAAAACTTTACATTTTACAATGAAAAATTTGTATTTTACGTATTTTTTTGTATATATTTTTTTGTAATTACAGCGATTTTTATAAGCAACTTGTCTTTTAGAACCTCAATTTAAAACAAAGGTTTAGTAAAATGTGTAATTTGTCAATTTTGTAGCATCTGTAATCATAAAAGCTACCGTAATTAAATTAAATACTATTGCAATAGTTACTATTGCAAACATGTTTATTATGCTTATAAGCTTGAGCTTATAAGCATAATAATTACGGTAATAATTTTAATAAAAATAAACCTTTTCTGTTAATATACAGGGTGTTAGGAAATAAATAGTAATAAATCAAGGGGGTCGTGGACCACACCAAGATCTTGGCCGACAAGCATTTTTTGGTGCTGGGGACATGTGTCCTAAATTGCTTATTTTTTTTGCTACAGGGTTTTGAAAAAGTAAAGCATTTAAAAAAAAATCGATCCACCCTATCCCACAGACCAATACAACCGTATGTACCTTCGCTACCTGCTCGAAATTTAATCTGTGGGCGCAGTTTTATAAACAGGTTTTTTATTTTATAAAATTACAAAATTTAATTTTAATTGTTTTAATCAAGAACGTCTGACGAGCAGGTTTCGCCTGATTTAAATCATTTGATTTAAATCACGATTTAAATCAAGTGATTTTTTTATTTTAATATATGATTTAAATCAATTTTAAAAAAAGTTTCACTATTTGAATAAATTTATATGCATCAAAAACTGCTTATTTTGTTAAATAAAATAATAAAGGAATATGCAAAAAATTATATGTCAGTTGCGGACGGTGGTTTATTTGTTTATAAAGTAGTGCCAATATAATAGTATTATTGTCAAGTTATTTTTAGTATTTTTTTTTAATAGTACACTTTATTAAAAAAAAGTTTATAATTTTGAATATCGAAATAAAAATTAAAAAAATCATTTTTTGTTTATTTTTTTATTTGTTGTTTTTTTAAATAAAAATCATTTTGATTTTTTTTTAAATTATGATTTTTTCGAACCCTGCTGACGAGTAAACGTAAGAAGCCGTTTTTATGTAGGATAATCAGTTAAAGAAAATATCAGCGAATGTGTCCACTACTGAAGCAATAGTACAACTTTTGTAACTAAAATATGTACTTTGATATTACACCAAAATTAAAAATAATATTGGAGATATTAAGAAGTAACATTTTAAAAATTACTTTTTCAAAACCCTGTAGCAAAAATTTCAGCTCTTTAGGATACATGTCCCCAGGAATGCTTGTCTTGGTGTGGCCTACAACCCCCTTGATTTTTTACAATTTCTTTCATAACACTCTGTGTAATAATAATAATTAATATTAATAACAACCAACTTTTTGTTTTAGTAAAAATTATATTATATTTTGGTTAAATAATGTAGTAAATTTTTTTATTGAAATCTAAAATTTCCAAAATGCCTAATATCCTTTATATCAAAAACAAAGCCTTAAATCAAAGTTATTCAAAAAAAAGTGCCTAAAATAGTCAATTTTACCACTACCCCGAAAAACCCTATAATTAAAATATTAAATATATATATATATATATTAGGTTAGGTTTTCAAGTTAAGTAATATAAATATAAAAATCTGTTCAATTTAAATTTAAGTACTTAGTATAGTACTTTTGATGTATTAAAATAAATGTGACCTACGCTATCAATCATATCTTTGGTTTATTTCCATAACCAGCTATATTTAACTTACTAATTACTGTCCATTTTCCCGAATACCATTCTATTGTAGACCATTTTCCCGACAAATTATTTTTCCGTCAAACCTTTCCCGACATTCATTTTTTCGATATCGCTTCTATTTAGTTCACTCATTGAAATAACAAAAATAACGGGATAACAGAAATTTTCTCGTAATTTTAATAATTACGAATAGTTAAGTTATTTTGTGGGGAAAATCTTCGGGAAAATGGTTTGTCAGAAAAAATTGTCTGTCGTGAAATTGCATTCAGAAGAGTAACCGCTTAAAAATGTATACCTCTTGCATCTCATGTTGTTATTGCAAGAAAAATTTGGATGAGATTCCTAATAACTAAATTCGAAAAACTTTTTAAAATTAAAAAAAAATATTAAAAATGAGATTTTTTTAATATAATAATAATACAATTAACTTTCTGATAAAAAAATGTTTTATTTTTGTTAAATATTTCTACATTTTAAGATGTGTGTATTTTTGCTCTGCTTCAGAAGTGCAAAGAAAAATTTGTTTTTCTCGAAACCAAAGAGAGATGCAAAAAACAGAAAAAAGACAAAAAGTTTTAATTGTTTTATCCGGAACAAATATCAAAATAAATTAAAAACAGTGGCGTAATATATTTTTTCTCAAAAAGGACGCCACTGAAATAAATTAATAAAATCCAAATACATCAAAAGATTACCAATATTTGTATAAATGAACACAGGAAGTTTTAAATCGGGATAGGGTTTTTTTAGATATGCATCAGGAAAAATCCGATAATTTAAAAAAAAATCTCACTGTATCTCGGAAACGGACCGTTTCCAAAAATTAATCATGCTAGGAATCCCGATTTTTTTCGCAATATTAATGAATCACCCTATACATATTTTTTTGACAGCATGAAATAATGATATGATGTGACCATAGATTTGTTATATTTTCATTTGTTGTGTCATGTCTTTTGTATTGGTAATTTAAGTTAATTACTTACAGCTCCCAAACGCGAGTCTCTAAGCTTCCTCCCATCCAAATGCCTTCTTCACTTACTTTTAACAGGTAATTTATCAATATTTGATTTTGAGAAATATTGCAGTGCCATAATTAAAATTGTGGTTAAAAATAAACCAAAAAATGTACGAAGGACTTTGGAAAGGGATGTGTATGTGTTCATCGTTTGTGTCATTCCATAGTTTCAATCTTTTGCCTGCAATATTTCATTGACTACATTTATTTAACATTTTAGTATTTAGTTATAAAAAAATAACAATTCTTCATTACACAGCATGTTAAGTACTCCTTCACTGGATATGGATACAGACCACGACACAGTGGATACCAACGAACGCAGAAACTCTTCAGGAACGCTAATGTCCCCTGAAATCGACACTCCCATTGAAAATGACGGATTTTACATGCTAAAAAAAGATTCCCAACGAAGACATACTTTGGCTAAGGTAAATATTCCAAACGCGCCTTTCAAAAGCTAATCCCAAGTGATTTAGGTGTTCGCCAACGATGGATCAAAGATTTGCGAAATCTGGCTTGCCAAAGTTAAGGAAAAGGCGCATGGAGAGACTGTGCTAACTTCAAAACATCTGCAAACATTAATGGAAGGCATAAGGCAGTATATTGTGGAAAATCATTATGCAGCTGTGGACTATGCTGTAAAACAGTTGAAGGAGGAGCTTGATTTCGACGCTACTGCTATTAACCAGCTTCAGTTTGCCGTCTATTTTTTTCAAGTAAGATAATTAAATTTAAATTACTGAAAAACATTCCGTCACAAGTAAAAACATGTAGGCGACTAAAATTGTTTATTTGCATTTTTTATAATATGATAAAGAGTGTATATTTAGCCAAAGCTTTAAAGTAACATATATAGGTAAACAATCAAGATATACATTCTACATATTTGATGCGCTCCAAGAAAACGAACCTTAGATCCAAAAATGTTACAGGAAAGGCGATTGAAGTTCGGTCCCTATAAACATATTATTATATTATAACGCTGTAACAGCTATACTGCAGCCTTAAAGGGTATGAAAAAATTCAAAATATGGATAAAAAATAAAACAAAAAAATTAAAAAAAAAGAAAAAAAAGCATAAAAAGTTCAAAAAAAATAAGTAAAAGCTAAAGATAAAAATAGCCTATATTATTCTCAGGCTTATATAATATTTCTATCCAAAAATCACGTCAATCTGTTACTGCCTGTGAGGCAAACTAACACTCTTTCGAAAATATACGTACAACAATTGAAATAAAAAAAAATTCTGATTATTTTTCGAGATTTTTTAAATTATTATTTTAATATTTATGAGTATTTCTGCACCCCAGAGCCAAACTGTATAACACTTTATATATTTTTTGCTTTTATATTTTATTTTATTAAAAAGAGAAGGATAATAATTCTCATAAATGCTCGAAAAGCTCTCGAGCATTTTAAAGAGTGCTCGATATTTGAATTTTCCTCCAAAACATAACCTGGTTATTTTATAAATGCTCAAAAATTGCTCAAAAGCGATTTTAAAAAATGCTCGATATTTTTTTAAAATAATTTTCTTATCATATTAAACTTTAATAATTAAAGCATTTCAAAAATCTCAAGCATTTGCTATCTCTTATAATAATTAGAGAAGGATGAGCACTTTTAGTTATGTCCATAAATGCTTGAAAAATGCTTAGAAGTTCTTAAAAGCGCCCGATTTTTTTAATGCATTTTCTGAATATATATTAAACTTGCATAATTAAAGTGTTTAAAGATGCTCGAGCATTTATGGACACTTTTAAAAGTGTTTGAGCATCTTTCATCCATAATAATAATATGTTTTAATTATTTTACAATCTGTCAATCATGTTAATAGCAGGTGCCTTATTTGCATTGGTTATTTTGTTTTTAATAAAAACTATTATAGTTAAAATATCGCCATCGCGTGGCGTGTGCCATTTTCTGGATAGCCAGTATAATAATTATCCCGAAAATTATTTTTGAAAAACCTTTCTCTCGAAAAATGTTTTATTTCTTTATTTAATTCGAATTTAGTACAAAACAATTTGTTTTAACTTCTTTTAATTGGTAAGCTACTTAAACTTGTTATAGGAATCTGTAAATGAAGTACTGAGGGCACGACCTATTAAACCACATTGGATGTTTGCACTGGACAGTCTCATAAGGAGAGGAGTCGAGGTAACGATAAACGTGTTGTCGCCTGAGCTCGGCCAAAATCTGGCCAATCACAGTTCGTCTTGCACAGCCGATTCTGACAAGTCTGTCAAAAGCACGCAGAATTGCGGCGATTGTCGCGATCAGATCGTATATATTAAGACTGAAAACGCTAGAATTCATTTGGAGGTAAGTCTACTTTTTTGAGTATTTGGCATCCTATGTTAATACCATGAAGTCTACACAAGGAGTACAAATTCCATTTATACAAATAATATGGCGCTGGTACAAAATGAAAATCAGCGCTAATGGTGAGAAAAGAACACGTAATTTGTGCAATTCCCCCTATTGAGTTGGTACCTCTTGAGTAAGCTCCATGGTAAATACGACCAGCATGAAGTTTTGAAAATGTAAACCTGGACCTGGGTAGCTTTTTGTAAATATTGTACAGGGTGTGTCATAAAGATTAACGGTTTTAAACAAATTATAACAAATAAATCTTTGCAAAAATATTTTCTCAACTTAAATTAAAGTAAACATTAAGAATTTTTTTAATAGCATTATCCTCTTCAAATTTTATGTCTGCTTTTACAAGTGTGCAAGACAGTTTTTACCCGTCACTGGCAACTGAGTACGCCTTGCTTTACTATTCGTTTAGCACTTCAAAACTCAGACTTTAAAACATGACTTAATTACGGTTAATAAAAAATTAAGGCTAAAATTTCATACCTATTTTTTTATTAACCATAATTGTGAAATACAGGGTGTCCCAGAACTCGCGCCACAGAGAAAAAGGGAACGTACCGAAAGTAATTTGAAACACATATTTAAAAATTCAAATTGTCCAACGCAAAGGATAAGGGAGATAAGAATAAAAAACGATAGCCAATCCCAATAGATCACCACAGGGAATTCTTTAAATTGCTAGGATACTTAGGTCGCATTGTTGATAATAAAAAATATGTAAAATATTTGGTCCACTGGAATTCAATTTATTGTCAAACTGCTGCCAATCTTTACTCCTGTCATTAATATTATATTAGGTTATAAATTAAGTTATTTTTGACACTGCTGTCAATCTTTACTTTTGTCATTAATATTATATTAGGTTATAAATTAAGTTATTATAAATAATGTTTTCCTTAGATGATTATAATAGTTCATTTCTTTATATATAAAGAAATGAACTATTTATGGGAAGCGTGGGCGCAAAAAAAGCTAAATAAAGTACTATAGTTTGATTTTTTACTTTAAAACATTGGCGTTCTGGATCAGTCAGATTAATAACCTCATTTTTTGAAAGCTTTTGACAACTTAGTAAATACAGTTGGCCAAAAGATTTTTAAATGTTTTTAAGACAACAATGTTCTATCGTCTCCTAGCAATTTTTAAAGCTCCTACGTTTAACCTAGGCGAGATCTCTCGGTATTGGCTGCCGCTTTTTTGCTCTCATTCGATTACATTATTAACTAGAAATTTTTTTTTTTAAATTTAGTATCTCCATTGCTATCGGCACGCCCCCTTTTTCTCTGTGGCGCGAGTTCTGGGACACCCTGTATATACCAAATAAGACATTGTACAAAATCTCTTTTCCAATCAAATAGACTTTAGTTCTTTGTTTTAGATAAAAAATATGTTGGAGGAATTGACTAAATTTGTTGAAACCATAAAACCATTGGTGACATGTCCCTGCAGAAAAAAGGAAACCATGCCTGAAGACCCAGAACTGGCGAATTGGTTACAGATTTTAAATATAAATGAGGCAGCTAGAAGAACTTTTCTTTTAGAAGGTATTACTTTTTTTTAGAGATGGCAGATGCTCGAGCACTTTTAAAAGTGTCCAAAAATGCTCAAAAATTATCAAGCATTTTTAAACGCTTTAATTGTAAAAATGTAATATAATGAGAAAATTTATAAAAAAAAATATCGAGCACTTTTTAAAATCGCTTGAGCGCTTTTGGGCATTTTAAATTAACTTGGTTATACTTTTTAAAATGCTCGAGCATTTTTAAAAGCCCTCGAACGCTTTTCGAGCATTTATGAGGATTATTAAAAGTGCTCATCCTTTTCTACTTTTTTAAATAGAACAATAAAAACTTTTTTGAACGAATCTCAATGGTTGTTTAAATTTAAAATTTGAAAATAAAAATAATTCCATCATCATCATCTTAAAATATTATGAGATAATTTAAATATTTTAATACCAAAAAGGCAAAATTTCACATTATTAATCTAACTAACAAAAAGGTTTTAATAAGAATTATTGTAATACACGATGTCACAATGTCTTGACCCCCACCCCACTAAACGTGTGAAGTACAGTTGCATTCATAAAAAATCCGCTTAGAATTCCTGTACATAACATTTTTTATTAATTTCACTTATATGACCCTGGCTTCCAGGGTCCTCATTTAATAAAATGTTTTATTTAATTTTACTGTTTTTGTGTACAAATATGAATTAATGATTGGGTCTCCGAATTCCAACAAAAATTTGGTTACCAAATACTGCCTAAATGAAAATATATCATTAAAATTCAAAAAAAAAATCAAAAGCCGTTCTAAAAATTAGTAAAGAGACAAAGTAAGTGGAACTGTTAACTTAACCATAATATATTTTAGGTTATACATTAGAAGAGGTGCTGTATCAGATAAGTCGAGACGACTTAAAAAATGTTGGTCTACGTGGAGCCTCGGAGCTGAGAATTTGGCGTGCCATTCAAAAACATAGACAAGATAGTGGTGGTATGCAACGGAGGCTTTAACCAAAACATTTTAATGTAACGTAGGGCAGCTTATAACGGTTTTGTTAGGTCATTCCAGTTATTAAGGACTAAAAATTAATTTTATTTTTGTGAAAAAACATTGTTGTTAATGTTTTTTTAAATATTTTGTTTAGGTTGACTGACACCGTTACAACAAAAAATTCGTTTTAACTGAAAATGGCTGCAATTAACAAATAGTATGTGATTTTTTATTTTATTGATTATTTTTAGTTGTGCAATAATTTTATTTATTTTATGAATATCTGTTTATTTTGTTTAAAACAAATATATACTTAAATTTTAACTTTTTGTACCTATTTTACTTACAAGAATTAATTTGATTTAAAATTTTGGTTTTAAAGGTTTTATTTTGTTATTACTTTAATTTAAGTTATAAAAATTACGCACAAAAATTTTATATTTATAAATTTGAACCAAAAATCTTGAGATTATTTTCTTAAGAAGAACATCACTTCAATTATTAGTGCCTTATATTTGCCATGGAATCTTGTTTTTATTTAATATAATAGTTTAAATAATTTAAAATAAATTGTTATTTTCATTAGGAAAATGTTATTGTTATATGCATATTGTGTAACTTAATATGATTAAATTAATATACTAATTTTTTTGTGAATTTGACATCACTAATAGAGGCTGAATAATGTATTAGATATATTTTATCATGAATAAATTTTAAACCCAAGTACTATTATTTTTATTGAGACAATGTGAGTAAAAAGTAAATAAAACTTTTATGTTAGATAGGTACCTACCAAAACTTGATTTTCTGTATTATCAATTATTTAGTTTCTAGACCCAATAAAAAAAAGAATTTTATTAGTTAAATGAAAAAATGGCTACATAGGTTGCAGGAAGAAATATCGAAAAAAAAGCATTTTCCTATACAATTTCGCTGATAAATTAAAACTTGTGGAACCTCTTTAACTAAATTATTATTTTAGAATTTTCGTGTTGTAACGGAACAGATTCCGTTAGTTATGAGAAAAATATTGCTATCTGTTATTAAAATAGCTGCTACTCAAAAACAGAAGTTAGCCACTAATATTGAAAATAGCAGCTATTGGCAAAAACTGCTATTTTTACGAATCGCATAATATAAGTTTGTTTATCAATAATATGTATGTTCTTTAGTAAGAAGTATGAGTATAAGGAACGTATAGCAGCCCCCATCGACAACGCCTAATATTTATTTATTTTACCCCTTTCAGTTCTTTTACGAATCTCGCCACTGCACAGCATTACCTGTGTTTGGCGGAATTTTCATCCTGGTTGGTAAATATCGCCTAGGAGGTCGTGGATGACAGTGTTGATGGTTTAGGCCACTCCCGGCCACCACAGCTATTTTTTTGTAAAAATATATACATGTGGGTACACTTGCCCTATATTTGGGGCAAGTGCGAACGTATTTACGGGGCAAGTGCAACAAACTCACAGTTTTGTGAATTTTTTGCAATTTACCGCAATTAAATTGACTTATTGGTTATAACGTTATTACATTTAACTCGAATAATTTTGGAAATTATCTGTCAAAAAAATCCATGATTACAAACTGATAGTTTTTATTCTCAACTGTTTATGAAATAATCAAACAAAAATAAAATACTATTAAAAAACAAAGATACGTAAACTTCATACAGTAAATCTTATTGATATTATAAATCGAAAATCTGATGTCAAACTTCATTTCGCCTCTTCTTTCTATGGTAGAAGGAGATAAAATACAGACGATGTCCTGAACAGTAACTTCTGAAATATCATCTACATTTCGCCATGTGAAAGCTGGAGTGGAAGGTACTGTCTTTGTTTTTATTCTTTGTAGAAATTTCACATTTGGATTTCTCATATGGCCACAACTATATTTTATATTTTTCCAATAAAATATTGAGAAGTTTGTTTCTCTGAAATTAATCTCGTCAATACCCAGACGCCAACTTGTCGTTCACTTACACTTCGTTCGAAGTAAAGTATATCCCTGTCTTCTGCACCAATTTCAGAAATTGTTTCAAAATCACTTTCTGCATCATCTAAAGGTATTTCAAAATCTTCCTCATCTGTTTCAGAATCGTATTGCACACATATTTTCTTACTTTTCTTCTTTGGTCGGTTTGTTTTCTTTGTTAGTCTTTTTCGTTTTAGTATTCATTTGTTCCATATCGGTCTTCTTTTTTACAATGGATTTTTTTTGATCTTCTAACTCTTTGTTTTCTCTTAGTCTCTTTCTTACGTTTTCACCTGTTGTTAGTTCAGCGCATAGACATACTTTTTTCCTGGACTTATTCGATACGTTATCCATTTTATTTCCTTTAACCATATTCAATAAAAGTTTCTCGAAAGCATGCCGGGCTAGGTTTTCTCCTGCTGTTGGTACAATACAGGTACCGGCAGTATTTTCTTCCAATTGAACTGGTGCATCTTCTGCTTGAATTGGACTATTGTCTTCTATTTCCGCTGATGTATTTTCGATCCTGTCCGTTTCCCTCTGCAACGCTCCAACCTCCTCACCTTGTATTTCCCCCTCTGTCTCAATTGGCATGTCTTCTATTTCCTCTGATCTATTTTCGGTCCAGCCTGCTTCTCTGTGCAACGCTCCAACCTCCTCACCTTGTATTTCCCCCTCTGTCTCAATTGGCATGTTTTAAAATCGTAATACGATTTGATTATCTGGTGTTTGCCGTTGCCGCTTGAGCTTCCCACCGACTCAGTTGTTGTGGATCATACTTTTCTTTTGGTATAACATTACAGTTGTAAGGGTAGACGCCACCTTTTATAAATCCCTCACAAATAATTTTCGGATCTGTCCCTTCCCTGTTGTAAATGACATATAAAATCATATATGAAAAATCCCTGCTGGTTCCAATATGATACTATATGATTTTTGAAACAGACATTACATATAAGACCATATTCATATTCATTTCTACACAGGCATATAAAAAACTGACCATATACAATTTATTACCTATAAATTCATATTCATTCATATATGATTTAAGATGGATTTTCATATAAATTTCTGTCATATAAAACCATATAAACACATACAGTTCATAATACTGATTACATATTGAATCCATAGTGTCATATAACAAACTATAAAAACATATAGAAACACTGTACGGATTCTATATGTTTCTACTGGTCATTTTCAACAGGGTTGCCAAACATCTCATACCATTTCAGCAAAGCCGGAAAATGTTAAAAAATATCGAAAAAAAAACGTGGCATAATTTGTTGTCTTGTTGGGTGTATTTCGAGACAAAATCCTGGGTTGAGTTTTTACCGGTTTTCCAATAAACGGTGTTAATCCGAATGAAGAAATAAATTTCATACAGTCTCTGTAAATATAAATTGTTTCTATTAGATACAATATATACACATTTTAGTAATGATTAACGTGAAAAGTGTAAAAATATAATAGACTTTATTACTTTTTGGATTTTTGCCTCGTTTTAAATATTTTATACCTACTCCCTACTCCGGCCAACGGAGGAAGACCTGGGAGCTGTCATCGATCACTACGTCCTAATTCTTCGACTTGAATACATCGGCCCCGTTTAACAACACGCCAAGTTTGTATATAGTTTGTGTATAGGTGTATACATAATAAAGTTAGGTTTGTATACACCTAATCGATCAATTCGCTAAATATGTATACTTTAAATTTAAATTATCTATGTATACTTTAAATTTTGATTTAAAATGTATACGTGAATTTGTTAAATTTATAAAACTGCTTTTAAAAATTCCGTACTTCATATTCAGCCAATCTTTAGAAACCCATAAATTAACAACTAAGCCACATACAAAAAAATAATTGTGGGTTTACATCCACACCTTCTAGTACAATTAGTCCAAATGTGAAAGAAATTAAGAATCTCAAATTTTTACGTTGTCCGCTTCACATGAACTGTCTCAGGAGACCAGGTCCTGCTAAATGATAAAAAATCGCACTAACAACCCAGATAGCAAAATGTAGTCACGGTGCGCGCACAGTGAGTGCACGCGTGTGTCTTTAAACGGCACGCGTGCGCGCAGATGACTAAACAGCTGCGCTTACATATGCGTCTCATATGCAGCGCACGTGTGCCGACGCATTTCCAGCGCACATGAATGAGTCAAAAAAGTTGTATATTTCAGAAGGAAATGCATATATAACGACGGGTTTAATGCAAAATGGCACAAGCGCCACGGGCGTTATATGTATTGGTGGTTTTCCGGGATCTGCTCCGTGTTATTGGTTTTTGGTTCTTAAAATAACCGTATGTCTGACGACGTTTCGGTACAATCTCATGTACCATGGTACATGAGATTGTACCGAAACGTCGTCAGACATACGGTTCTTCTAAGAACCAAAAACCGACAACACGTAGCAGATCCCGGAAAACCACCAATACATATAAATAATATATATATTCAAGTAAAGGGAAAACGTAAATAAAAATGCAAATTTTAATCAAAATCCCGTAAAATAAAAAAATCTTAATGTATAATAATAATAAAAAAGCAGATGATCAATTAATCAAGTGATTTTAAAAATACTAAACTAAATAATCACAAAAGTAAAATCACAAAATCCTAAAGCAAATAAAAATCTTAAAGTAAATAAAAATGCACAGTTTCATAATTTAAATTATTGTGAAATCCCAAAAAAAATAATCAATTATGAGAGGAAAATGCTTGTTATGATTTAATCTTTATATTTTTCACACTTACCTGAAATCCTTAATAACTTTTATCAATTTATACCTAACTATAATAACACGTGGACACAACAAACACAATAGAAAAATAAATACAATTCAAACACAACCCGATTGCAGCAATGTAATAAGGTTATATTTTTGTCGAATTACCGCGTTGACCGGTTACGCGCGAATTTTAAAATTTGAATTTAAATGCAATATAATAAATTATAATTTATATATACATATAATGAATAAAAACGAAATCTACTGTTTTTTTATAGAATCTGGCATCACTGCCGATGCCAGTGTAAGAGATCATTGATCACGTCGTGCGCTCATACTGCGCTCATCGCGTGGGCGCGCACGGCTATGCTACTCATATGCGTGTGAAAACGACCACACGTGTGCGTTCTCACGCCGTGCGACCTACGTGCGACGCACGATTGCTATCTGGGAATAATTATTATTAACAGTTGCGATCGCGTTAGCTACTTAAAATCGCTGCACTAACAAATATAAAAGTTGCGATCGCATTATACTCCTATAGCAGTTTAAAATAGGTGCTATTTAAAAATAGCAATAACAGTTAATCAAATATCGCATTTTAGCTCATCACTAGAACGGAACGATATCGTTTTTTTAAACACCATTATTTTTGTGGTAGTTATAGGGTAGCGATCAAGTATCAAGCAACTAAAGTTAGATTTTCTAGAACTTTCTCTTTAATTAGTAACTTTTTCTGTAATTTAACATTGACAAGTTAATGTAATCATTGTAATAAATATTTTTTTTTCAAAGCTTAATCTTTCTAAATTTATTATTTTGTAAGTAAAATTTTAAACACCTACTTTCTAATAAAATTAAAACTTTTCCCAATATTGTTTGTCCCTTCTGTCCGGCATCTAGAGAGACTACATAGGCTTAACTGTCAACTGTCAAACCGGTAGTTAGTTCAACTAACATAGTTGCAGGGCTGCACAGACAGGTATTTGGACCTAAAACGTGGCCAAAAATCAATTTTGTTAATTTTTATTGCCAGATCTAAGATTTTCTTTTAAAGAAGTTAGATAACATGGCTATCTTTTGGTGTAGTTGAAACTTGAATTGGCCATCCCAGTCCGATGTACCAGCAGCTAGAACCTAGCGCTCTTTTACATCGTAGGTCTTCGTTCGCGACACTCCACAAAAAAACAAATTTTTGCTGTGTTGTTTCTTATGTTAAAAGAGATTTTGGTGAAAGAAATTAATATGGATGTCGTCAATTAAGGTATGTACAATATTTTAGGCAATATTTCATTTGTGTTATAAACTTTATTTATTTATATCGAGTACTATAATTATAACTACCTAGAAATTCTTAATTTTTCTCGTTTTCTTAAACAAACAATGGTGTTTTTAAATATCGGCAACACCTCGCAACGGCATCCGCAATACATTTTATTAAACTTAAGGATATATAGAATAATTGCAGCCATCAAAATCATCCACATGTTTCCACATCAAGAAAAAATGTACCCTTGAAAACAGACACTTTAGTGCGATCTTATAAGATTTTTATGTAAATGGATGTATTTTTTATTTTTTAAAGGGCACAAAAACTTTAATATATGTTTAATTTTAATATTTTTATTGCATTACTTGCATGTAAGTAGCTACTTTATAATTTTTTTATAAATAAATTTGTGAATACATACATTTTTTATTTATAGTAAAAGTACCTAATATCACTTGTATATACCTTTAAAAATATGTTTTTTAATCATTTGCTACCCTTTTGATAAAGAAAAAGTGCCCAAATATTTTTGGCCACGTTTTAGGTCAAAATACCGGTCTGTGGGCTGGATCGAGGGGTGTTCGAACCGTTTAACCAAACAGGTCGCCCTTTCGTGAGGGGCGCCCTAAAAAAATTTGAATTGTTTTTATATATAAAATTGTAATAATTACGTGAAATATAAAATATAAATATACAGTGCTTGCAAATCCAAGTCCGACCGCGTTGGGAAGGATGGTTGTTCAATACCCGCGTGAAAAGAATAAGGATAGAATGCCAAACAGAATTTGATTGGTCAGAGCGCCTTCTGTTTGGCGTTCTATCCTTGTTATTTTCACGCGTCCTTCCCAAACCGTTCTGACTTGGATTTGCAAGCACTGTATATATAAAATATGCTATAAATCAATTCAAATCAAAATCAAAGTCCAGTTTAAAAAAATATAAGGTATAAAATAATCTTTAAGAGATTCTGCCCAAACAATTAAAAAAATGTTGATTTTATATATTTTATTTACAAATAATATATTTATATAAATATTTTGTGTATATCCCTAACTGACCTGTGCAACCTCGTCCCAGCTCTTGACTGAGTAAGTCGCTTGGCAGCGGAGGCAGTGATTAAACGTAAAACGTTAAAACCATAACCAACAAATAATTATTATAATCCCTCATAGTGCAAACAACTATAGTGTAACAAATACAGTGAGTACAGACTACTCTACGGTCAATAATTAGTTAAGGGCCAAGTGAAAAGGAAGAGTGAAGTGACAAGTGCAAACGAACATAGTGAAACGGTCAAAAGAGTTAAGTGTTAAGTGAGAAGAAAGAGTTAAGTGTCTGAGCGGTCGCACCATCTGTCAACAGGACGATTTTCACTGGCCAAACAAAAGAGGTCAAACAAGGGAGGAATAGGCCACCTGCAAATATTTGATCCTCAACTCATCAGCATGACCTAACACATAATTTGCAAATTAAACTAAACAAGGCACATTGCCTAATCCCTGCAAAAAAAACAATAATCATCGGTAACAAAACAATAGAAAGTCAATACTATCCAAAAAAAACTAAACAGCCGATCGCGGACATACACCAAAGCTGAACAGGGCAATAAAGCTGTCAACAAAACAATTCAAGTATAACAAACCGAGACCAAATAAATTTGACACTTAAGACATAAATAACACTCATAAACTAAGAAAACATAAACAAAGTAAAAAAAGCACTCTAATCAAACTCCATGGAATTTGTAAACACATTAGACTAAACTAAAAGTAAAAAAAATACCTGCTAATGGGAAAAACCATTACCAAAAGGGTAAGAGTAGCCCAATTAAAATACTGGGCCCACGTCACTCGTAGACAACGCAACAACAAGCAACTACAAGCCACTCTTAAACTAGATCTTACAGACAAAAAAGTCGGGAGACCATGCTTCACATTTCATGACACGTTAGCACAAAACATGCACTTCTCACAAATTAACAAGACCAGTTGGGAGCAACTAAGCAACAATAAAAACAAAATAAAAAAACAACTGACACACTTTACCAAGTGCAGGAACTATCTGACACGGACAATGACAATAATGAACAAGACGAAGACCTCGACTAGGAAAATACACCCCTGCAGCGTAATAACTCCCCAACTCCAAATAGTAATCCCAAATGTTTGGAGTAATACTAATCGACTGGTCTAGGGGGATTCCGCGTCGTACTTAGTTTTAAGTCGGCGTAATTGTCCCCCAAATACCACCTCCCGTCCCTCCTCCATACCCCACTGAGCGTATAGCATAGACTCGGCGAACCCGAGGACGGCTATTAAAACTATTCGCCTCTCGCTCTCGAGCCCCAAATAGGGGACAGTACGGAACGCAATGGACATTCGCACCCAGCAAACACGGGTGAAGCCGTGCAGTTGCTGGGGAAGAACAAAAATCGGCGTAAGTAAACATAGGCCTGTACGGGGTTCGAGAGTCAAGAGGAAATGGGGCTGGTTATACGTCTCTTATACTCATACTCATACTCCCTAACTGACCTGTGCAAAAATTGTATAATTTTAAGCATCAATAAATCTATTCTATTCTATTCTAAATAGGGTTAAAAAATAACTGTTTTTTGTTTTAATTATTTAATTTGCACAAGATACAATAAAACAATTATTATTCATGACAACTATATTTGGTTAATAAATTTTAAATCCAGGAACCTATAAAGAATAACCTATATGTAGAATAAATTACAAAATACACATTTTTATATAAAACTATTAATTATACATTAATTTAGTTATGAAAAACTTTTTTATTTTCCTAAGATAATTTTTCTGGATGCTCCAAAGTTTTGTCCGGCCTGTGTAGCCCCCTTATTTTGTCCAGCTTGAAGGCCAATGATACCCTCGCTGGCTCTCAATTGGGCTTCGCTGAAGTCACGGCGGTTCTCTTCTGATGGTCTTGGTCCCAACCATGGTCCCCTCCATTCTGGGTGTCTGTACGCTGTACGTCCGATGGCGAAAATGGTTTGGGTCACCAGAGCGATGTTCTTTTGGTCCCACAGATCAGTGGTTTGGAACAAATCTACGTCGGGAACACCATATTTGACGCAGGCTTTTTGGAATCTGAAAAAAATGTTTAATTCAGAAACAAACTTTTTTGGGTTCAATTTATACATAATTTAAACATAACTCTAGGGGCCGTCCATAAATCTCTTGACGGTGGAAGGGGATTTGAAAGACTGTCACAATTTGTCATGCCCGAGGGGAGTGGGTTAATTAAAATGTAACTTGACAAAGTAAATTCTAAGTTATTTCATTTTTGGTAAGATTATAACAAAAAAAAACGAAACATTGTCAACTAGTCAATTGTGTTTTTATTTGTTGACTCAACATTTAAAAGGCAAGATATAAAATATTTTCCATATTTTTCATAATAAAACAAATGTTTTTCTTACTTTAAATAGATATTATCTCTGCTTTAAAATATCTTCGGTACTAGTTGGCGGATTGCATTTTTTTTAAACGAAGTTAGAGGAAATTTGTATCATTAACATATTCCAATAATATTATTAGCTAGTTCACTAGGTATTTAAGAAGTTATTGCCGATATGGCTTTATTTTTAGCAAATATACATAAAAATCATATGTTTTACTAGGATAATAATTATTATAATATATTATACCCAAAATATTTTTGTAGGCCTGTTTTTTAAAGTGTGATTTATAGAATAGATTGTATTCTAAATAAAATAAGCCACTTCCTAATAAAATCGCACAAAAAATATAGAAGATATATATGGGGTATTCCATGCCAAATCGACCACTTTTGAACCCGACCCCTTTCAATCTGACCAAAAGTTTTCCATTCTTTTCTACCCTTTTTTGATAATTTTTTTCAAATTTTTTTATCCAACCCAAAAAAGTTTTAAATTTTTCAAAAAAAAATATACAAAAAATACAAAAAAAATTTAACATGATCAACTCTATGAAATTATCGCTTTTTTTAAATAAAATCGCTATTTTTGCGAAGTTCGCCATTTTTTATTTTTTTTTCTCAAAAAAAAACTTTAATTAATGTTACAATTATTCCTGCCAATCCTAGATTGGGCCGATTTTTTTTTCAGTCTATTCAAATCCAAGCTGAACTAAAACAAAACACCCCAGACGCGCGAATGAACACAGATTTTGTAAAATATGTATATGTATATTTAAACGCCAGAGAAGAAATTAATAAATAATTTTTTGCATTATTTTTAAAATCATTGAATGTTAACTGTATTAATCATTAATCCTAGTCAGTATAATCGTAGCCTAAGCCTATAAATTGAGAATATATTAAAGTTTGTGAAAAAAATAAAAATTTCATTTTTGAAAATTGGACAATTTTTTATCAATTAAATAAAAAATATAGAAAGAAAAATTCTAAATCTTTTTGGATTGGATAAAAAAATTTGAAAAATATTTTTCAGAGGGTAGAAAAGAATGCAAAACTTTTTGCCAGATCAAAAGGGGTCGGGTTCAAAAGTGGTCGATTTGGCATACCCCGTATACAAGCACCTATTATCATTTAAAAATGTAATAAATGTATAGTATATATAAGGACATAAGGCCGATATTGGGCGAACGTAGTGTAGTAGATCTATACTTTTCATAATAGCTATAAAAAAACATCCGTAAATTTGTTAGAGTTTGACAGTGTCAATTTGAATGTCAAGAAAACTGGGCTTTGATAGCTATTGGTAACGGTTGTTTATTTGTAAAATTCGAAAAAAACGTGATGGACATTTAAGAAGATATAAAATAAAATATTCGTGCTGAACGTGCTTCCGCATTAAGTTCTGCCAGAGAAGACCAAGGATCGCTACAAAACAAATATTAAGCACTTCAAATTTGACTCATCAGAAAAAATATGGAAACAATAACCGAAGATGTATTTCTCTGCTGTGCTACACTTTATGGACAAAAATTTCGTTGATATAAACGGGTCCCAAATTACAGGAAAATATGGAAATTTCTAAGTAAGTACTTAGAAATTTCCATATTTTCCTATTATACCTATTACGGTTAACTTCTTCTTGGTGAACCTATTTTAAACGATTTTACCGATATGGGCTTTACAGATTCTTCAAGAGAAAGTCGGAGCGCTACACACCAAAAAAAGCTATGCTATTGTCAGCTAAGCAAATAATGAGTTTTTTGTGGTATCTTCGGACAGTCAATTTTTACTGTAGTAATTGTTTCCTTGACAATTGATAACATTAAAGACGTCGGACGCTTTATAATTGTGAAACAAAAAATAAGTCTTTCAGAATGTTTACTATTATGGAAGACGATACTCCTTTCAAGAGTTGTGCTTTGTATAGAAAATATGCTGCACTACGACCCTTTAATTTTCAAAGTCGACAAAACGGCAAATGCACCAAACAGCATGTAGAAATTTACAATTCACAAAACGGTGGCGATCTCCTTACTTTTAAACAATTTGGGGTCTGGAAATCTTCATCAGTTGCTAAACGGTATGTTGAACAATCAATTACCAAGAAACATAAAATTTCGAAGCAGCTGTTCAAATCAACAGACAATGATTCTTTAACATTATCCTCAAATGATAGCGTGAAAAGAAAAATAGCAGAAACTGTCGATGAAAGACATCACAACAAACATATTGTCCTTTTTAATATGAGCAATTAACTTAATTAACTTTAAAATTTGCTCTGTTTGTAGCTAAATAATTTTTGACTAAAAAATGTGTCCATCAATTTAACAATGTTAACGTAAAAGTTACAAACTACTGTTAAGCTTAATATAATACAGGGTCCGATCTAGTTTTCATTTCGTTAAAGGAGAGTACTGTTATGACACTAATAACATATAGGTACTGTACCTATATTATGAAACAAATTTAACAAAAGTACCTACGTTTGTTTTTTGCTAATTTTTTAGTTACATATGGGACATGTGGTGAATCTTTATTTAGTGTTATTGCAGTAACTACTAAGTGGGTTTATTAGCTACAAATTAAAATAATAAGTGCAGTTAAACCCAGATAGCCAAACTATCTGGGAAACCTAAAGGAGTCGCGTTGCCTTTGATAAGATGCTGGAAAATTGTCTGCAACAGTAGCTAGGCAAAATTGGCCTGACCAATAAATTGGAAGTCTAAAACCTTTCCCGTCAGTTGGATGCTAACTGCAAGTAGAATATTTTCGCCCAAGTGAATGCGCATTTAAAATAGTTTCTGATCAACAATCATTTCCTAGAATACCTTGCCCGTCAGTTGCACGCTAACTGCAATAAAAATGTTTCTGCCCAAGTTAGATGCGCATTTCCAATAGTATACCAGCAAACACAAGGTAGAGCCTAAAGGCTAACTTTAATTAATCTGTACAGTGTACAGGTTGTCCAGATTAAAGCCAACCCATTATTTTCCTTAATTGTTCTCAGTATATTTTTGTCGGTCAAAAACATTTCTTGAATGTTTTTAATGAATTTTTTGAATATGAGATTAGATTTTTTTTATCTTAAAAATACAGGGCTGTTCAAAATATATATATATATATATTTTAATGAAATGCCATATATGGTATATATTTTTCACATATCGATAAATGTAGGTGAATTTAATAATATATAATGCCTATATATTTACTTTATAAATAACAATTATATGAGACATAATAAGCACAGAAACACCATTGCCCAATTTGGTCTTTATTAACATTAGTAGCACTTTAATTAGCGAACACCGGGAAATGTAGGTAGATACATGTATATTATAAATAAATGCACTGGGTCTTAAAATTGATTATTTTATGTAATTTGTATTGTAGTACAATTTAGAAAACCTGCATGCGCTTCTGAAATTTAAATGTCGTGACACGTCAGCGTGTATAAGAACAGACAAGTTCACGTTCAAGAATTTTTTGCTGTCGTCTCAAATACAATCCCTTTAATGAACGACTCAACTTTATATTTTTAAGCAAAATCAACGCATTTTTGATCCTGAGCGTTTCCTGTACAGGAACGTTCCTCTCATGATTTTTGAAATAGGTACCTAAATGTTCTTCATGACCATTCCCGGTGATAAATTTATATGGCGATGCGGTCAACTTTTTTTGAATAATCAATATGAGATACTTACTTTTTGGGCGACCAGTAAATGACCTATAGGGGGTTCAAATTTGGTACGAATATTATTACATATCCTATAGAAAAACGAGCTATGTGGAGGCAAGACTCAACATGTTTCTCTCAATAGAATTGTAAACCACTCTATAGAGTATAATGTAGGTTCGTACAAATTTTGAAACCCCCCCTGAAATATTTATCTGGTTCCCCCTGTTGGAAAGGGAGGAAAAGTGTAGGTAAACAATGTGTAATGTGATTTAAAACTGGTTCGGTTTCGTCCCTGGTGGAGTGCGTTATTGGTCTATGATAAATTTTTCATAGAGCAATAACGCAGTCCACCACGAAACCGAACCAGTTTTAAATCACATTACACATTGTTTGCCTACATTTTAAGTAATTAAAATATAAGTGACTTTGCGACCCAGGAGGGACGAGATTGGATTCCCAGGGTAGAAATACACTGGCTTTAATCAGAAATATATGAAAATATTCGAAAAAAGAAACGGATGAATTAAGATTGAAATATTTGAAGAAATCCTGTGCATATAGCCATGTGGTGCATGGTTAAAGAAAATTTAACATGGTGATATAAAAAATTGAATTAACCAGTAGATAAATGATTCAAGGGATGAGTTAAACTCAGACTCTCTTAAATGAGACCCTTGATCAGTAAAGAAAATTAAAAAATATAATGTGCTGGCCAAATAGTGTTTAAGTAAGCCATTAAATCTAAAGAAGAAGAAGAAGTGATTTAAAAAAAGTGGACTTAATACAGTTTGGATCTGGGGTACAGATAAAGTTTTGAAGGTTTTTTAAAATTTAAATAATAAATTGGTTTCAGATAAGTAATTGGGGTTATTTTAAATTTTTTGTATTTTTTTACAAATATTTAAGTACCCATTACTTTAATTTAAAAATAATAGTAAAAAAATATTTTTAAAAACTTTGCGCCCCAAGCCGTACAATTAAATCAAACTACAAAAAACGCACCCAGCCTTAAAGCATTGATTAATATATTAACCGGTGTTGCCAGTGGTTGGAAAGATAAAGTACCAAATGAGACTTTTAAAATGTACCAATTTCCCTAAAATGTACCTCTCATTTAATGGCAATAAACAAAAACGTTTTGGTTCTTTTCGTTTTTTCCTCAAAATTTAATATAGCGCGATGTTGCCAACAGACGAATATGAAAATAAAACGAATAAAAATAGGCGATTTTAATAACGCCATTGTAAGACAGGAAGCGGAATACTAGGAAATGACCGTGAAGTAAGGGAAACAAAGCATCAACTTTATTGAAATTAGGCAAATAAAATATTGCAAAATTCAAAAATTTCATGGAAATGTACCAAAATAGTCCAAAGCACCAAACGTACCAAAAAGGTACAAATGTACCACCTCTGGCAAAATTACATCAAAATTCAAAAATTTCATGTTAATGTACCAAAATAGTCCAAAGCACCAAACGTACCAAAAAGGTACAAATGTACCTCTGGCAACACCAACAACAACTCGACGCTTAAGTTTAAACCGTAAACATCGTTGACCGCCGAAGCGCTGGCCTGCGTGCATTCGTGAACCCGTTCTCATTTATACCTCCTCAAGCTTCAACGCGCCTGGTAGCCGTGTAGCGTAATGCACTAGTTGATGATCCTTTCCTTTGTTCCTTAAGCAATTGCTAGTCGGTAAGCCAACACACAAAACGAAACTGCCGACAACGTTCAGTCAAATTTCGGTTCCAAGCGCACACGCTTTTAAAACACGCCTCCTAGGCTGTATGCTGCCCTGCTACTTCAATTTCATACTGGATGATTTATGTAGAGCATACACAGGTTATAAAAAATTGATTGTATTTTTTATTTATTGCTTAGGTACCTCAATTATTGTAATAAGAAAGCCGGCTCACGCTAATGGGACCTCAGATTGTTAAGGACAATAATACGGCTTCCTCGTTGTATCAGGCTAGCAGAAGACCTTCGGGGTATTTTATTTAATAAAAATGCGCTTTGTGGCTAGTTTAAATTAAGTTTAATATTATAACATTTTTGCATAGCTAGTTTTACCTCAATTTAACTTTTAATTTAAGTACCTTTACGATTTATGTATTTTTAAATTATAATTTATAATCTAATAATTTACCTAATCTAATCAAAGCGTAAATTTCCTTGGTATATTCATTGGTTCAAACCTGTGCTGGGATTGGCATATAAACTTCTTGTTGAAAAAACTTAATAATCACTGATGAAAATACCCTTTTATTATTCAACTTTTTATAGTCTTATTTCTTATGGGTTCTTCTTCCCAAATAGAAAGAGTCTTTAAAATAAAAAAAGGCTCTCCGCATTATATTTTCAAAAAACAGTACCTACTCCCTCTGTAATCCTATTTGTTTAATCATTAACTAAGATTACTTCTGATAGCAAAAACAGAATTTTCTTTTAAGATAAACAGAAGCTATCATGAATACAATACCAGACACAGATAATTAATCAGCCTACCTTAACACAGGTTGGCAAAAACTGAAAAGTCACCTTAGTATATTTTGATCAAACTAGTGAATAAAATTCCCGAACAACTAAGGTAATTAGAAGACAAATCATATACCTCGCAATATTTTGATTGTAAATAAAAATACATTTGTTTGAAGGTGCTATATTACATTTAAATAAGAAAAAATAGATGATGTTGTGATTGTAAATAAAAGTAAATGTTGTAAATACCAATACAATATTACAATATTTTTGTCCTTTATTATTAAAAAAGTTACTTAACCACTTAAGTCATATTTTTTTTCGACTTTCTAAAGGAGGATATTTTAATGTTTTAACGTTAAGTGAGGTTTTAATAACATCGACTAAAATTAGGTTTATAATTTTTCTAATTAACCTTCACGTAATTCTGTAATACGCGATAAAAATAAAATTGTTTTTATAGATAACTTACTGGCTGAGATTGTCCATCATTTTGTAATCTCCACCGGATGTGTTAATTTTGGAAATGATGCCGGGTGCCAAGCGATTCATAAGTTTGCAAAGAATTATACCATCACGAAGTGCCATTTCGTATGGAATTGGTGGAAAACGTTCTTGAATAACACTTTCAATCCAGTGTTGGGCTTCTTGTTCTTGTTCCAAGTCACGTTTACCGGCAACCTGAAAAAAATGTCAACATAAAAAAAATTAAAAATATTTGTTATATTAGTTAAAATTAGACCAAACATTTCATTTTAAAATGTATAGGTACCTACTGGTTAAATAACTTTAAATCTTAAAGTGGTAAAGTTGTCAAAGAAATTACTAAAATGAGGAAGTAGAAGTCATAAAGATATTTATTACGAAGCTGAAAATAACCAAGACGAAAATAAAAAAAACTAAACAACTTTATTTCGTCACTATGGGTTGGAAAAATATTTATTTTTTAATACTCCTGTCTACAAAATGATTTAATAATCTAATTTTTATAAACGAGTAACTATATTTAACACGCTTTTTTCTCAATTTAATAATTTATTGCACGGTTTTGCCCAAGTTAAAGCAATGTTTAAAAAATAATTTTTTAACATTTAAGTATAGTTATTAATTTTATATAAATTTAAAAAAAAAACCTACTTATTGTGTTTATTTTTTTAGAGATTGTATTGCCAACTTGACCATTGCTATACCTACAAATCTATCTTAAATTACAATTGGTTAATATAATTAGTGTTTAATTTTAGACCAATTTTATAAAAACAACAATAGTATTATCAATAACTAACTTTTAAATAGATACGAAAACCTACGCAACATATTATTCATTCACCTGTTTATAACTTATGGGTATTTACGTGGATAAAAGTTAAAAATAAAAACAAAAATCATGACGTTTAAATCGTCATAATTGTTATTTTTATTTTTGTTTTTATAAATTTAAATGAAAACCCAGAAAAATTATGTATCAAGTTTTATAAACGCCATTTTAGACACGAGTGCTTAAATTAATATAAACGAGTTGTATACTATACTTTTTCTACGACAAATACTTATTATTATCTAAAAATTATTTAAATTATATATTTGTATTTAGCGCCATGTACTAAACAATTGGGGAATCTGTATTATAAACATAGATAATAAATCAAAATGTATTCCTTGAAAATGGATTAACAACAGTTTTTCACAGTGAAAGTGAAGAAAATGTTTTATAAGCACTTCACGGTGGAGTCCAAGCCCGACTTTAAGTTAAGTTTACTGCCGGCAAAATTAAGGTCAGTTGAATGTTCATATAAACTTTTCAAATATTGGCGTTAAGAAACTATTTAATGCTTTTGTATTTTTGTATTGAGATAATAAAATAATTTTCGTATTTAGTATAATCATTACTCAATGGTATAATTTTACAAGAAGGGCACTTTATTTTAACGATTGTAGGACATTTAAGAATTGTCAACTAACTTAAAGCTAACATCAGCACGTGACTAAAAACCTGTTTTTAACTTAGCGCCTATACAGGTTGCACCAAGTATTCTCCTATGTGTATAGGTACTTTTTTTATTTGAAAAGCTACAAGGTGGTTTAAATTAAAATAAATTGGAAAAAAGCCAGCGGTTCTCAAAATATTTAATAAAAAACTAAAGACCTTTATTTTTATAATGGACTCCATAACTTATGTAGTTTGATACATTGTTGGATTCCTTGATTTTTTTTCTGGTAACTCCAAATCTAATGGGCGAAAAAAATTACACATTGGATAAAAATATAAATAAATAATAAATAATATTTATGTATTATGTATTTTTACATTTCATAATTCCCAGGAATAACGATTTTTGGTTTTGACAGGTTTAAAGTTTTTTTCAAATTATTTGTGAACCGCAGATTTTTAAATGCCATTTTAATTTACTTGTAGTTATGCAAAAAAAAATATTTTTTTTCTCGTCTCTTGTGAAAATATGTTGGTTTGTCATATTTTAAGAGCCCTGTCAAAAGATCAGCTCCATTACAAATTTTTTAGGGGTCGCTCAAGATTTTTAAAAATTTCCAAAATCGTCAAAAATTGTATTTTTTTTATTTTAATTTTTTTTTTCGTTCCGATGTTATTTTGTCTGAAAATTTCAAATCGATATTTTGATTTCTAAAGGTCGCTCAAGATTTTTTTAACTATCACTAACTATAGAGTATTTTGAATGTTTTCGAGCGACCTCTGAATATAAATATAAACTAACTTTTAGCGACCTTTAGAAATCAAAATATTGATTTGAAATTTACAGAATTTTTATTATTTTCAACCTAACAAATAATATCGAGAAGAGAAAAAAAATTATATTAAAAAAAAATTCATTTTTTGACGATTTTCAAAATTTTTAAAAATCTTGAGCGACCCCTAAAAATTTGATATTTTGACAGGGCTCTTACAGCATGATATAAACTAACATATTTTTACTAGAGACGAGGGGGCCACCCTAAAATCGGGTTGAACTGTGAAATAAAATAACTTATTAAGGAGGTGGTAAAGGACTTTTTCTTTAAATATTACTTAAACTCTAAATATATAAAAAAAATTATTAATATTTTAAAACAAAAGCGGTTTGGACTATCAATGTTATTCAACCATATTAAATAATTATATTATAAATGTAAAATCGAATAAATTCAATTTCGACATGTTAAAGAATAGGAATGATTCGTAAAAACAACTGCAATCGACGCCCCCGCTTCGACGTCTCATAAAGACCATCAGCTGGCCGGAGACGCCTCAGTCTATACCGTCACGACGCCGAATCCAAACGCTCAACATGTCTGTAAGTACCTAAATGTAACTCACTTAATTTTCTTTGATCCAAACTAGCTTTTATTTATTTTGTCAAAATTTATCTAAGCTATACAAATATTTTTTTTAATAAATAGATATTAGTGCGTTATAATAAAATTATAATAATAATAATAGTAATAATAATAATAATAAAGTTTAATACAACACCTGTATTAGGATATATTTAGAATGAACACCTATGCCAAATGGCTTTTGAGTCATATTTACAAATATAAAATTTTAAGTAAAAACTTTATACACAAAATATGTACACTAAAAACAAATTACTACATAGCTAAAAATAACAAATTTTGGTTTTTCTATTTATAGATTTTACTTCATTCTACATTTTCTTTAAATCAAATAACAATATCTATACATGTAACATTATTCCATAGAAACGTAACAAGGATCTTGAAGCTGAAGTCCTAACTTGGATTTTCGCTGTTATTGGCGAACCAATTCCAAAAGGCGAATTCGAAGACATCCTTAAGGATGGCGTAGTCCTTTGTAACTTAATGAACAAACTTACTCCAGGATGTATAAAGAAAATTCAAAGCAAAGGTACCAACTTCCAACTTATGGAGAACATCCAAAGATTCCAAGCAGCGGCTAAAGCCTACGGCTTGCCCCAAGAAGAAATCTTCCAAACTGCCGATCTTTTTGAAAGAAGGAACATTTCCCAAGTAATACCAATTATTACAATTAATACAACAAATATATAATATAATAATTTTTAGGTGGCTCTTTCCTTGTTTGCTCTTGGCCGTATCACACAAAAACACTCTGAATGGAATGGCCCCACATTGGGACCCAAAATGGCGGAAAAGAATGAAAGAACCTTCACTGAAGAACAATTGAGGGCGCATGAAGGCCAACTGAACCTTCAAATGGGCTTTAACAAGGGGGCTTCTCAGTCTGGACACGGTGGTTTTGGAAACACCCGTCACATGTAAATCTGCCATTATTATATTTTATTTATTATGTTTTTGAAATAACGCAAGAATATAAAAAATATTTATTATTTATTTTTGTACATTACCACGTACCTTAGTAACATTTTTTTCAGATTTTTGTATGTACTGTTTTGTCAAGTTTAAAAATAAATATTTATTTTTAGATTAGATCAACTGTTATTTTAACATCCGCCTTTACGCAAAACTAATAAAATCAAAGAAAAATAAATTATTCAAACATTGTTTAAGTAATTAAAAGCAATTTATTTAATAAATAGATATATTTTTGAAATACCTACATAATATGTGCAAAACTAGTTAGGTAACGAGCCAACTAGGATAATAATATTATAAAAAACGTTTTGAAATAAAATATACTTGTCCATTTGAATTATGTTTTCTCTAAAATTGATTGATTATTTATTGTAAATACATTTATTTTTTATTTATAAATAAATTAAAATGGCCATTTCTTCAGATTTGAAAATTGTTTAATGATTTTTTTCCGAAAAACTAGATTAGGTACTTCAAATATTTTTTGGTAAAGTTCCATTAAAAGGAAACAATATAAAAAGTCTTATTTGGTAATTTTGAAGAAAAGTTTTTTTTAAATTTTAACGGTTAATTAAAAAAATCACAGAAAAGAAAAATTGTATCCAAAAGTGGGGGGATAAGGGGCGAACAAATTTTATATGGTTTAAAATTTGTTTTTTAAAATATAATTTTTATTCTAAAATTTGTTAACATGGCTTTAAACATTTTGAAGTAATTAAAAAAAAAATATGATAACAGTTAAAAAGTTTAACCCGTTCGGTGTACTCCTTGGGAAATCGTTCATGTCTAATTTATATCATAAAGTGTTTTAACCTTGAACTAGAAAATATTAAATTTATATATTTTTATACCTTTGCTTGATTAAAATTTTTATCTACTGCCGCATATTGTGTAATATTTAAATACAGACTGGTTTAAAAAAAATTCTTGGATATTGCCGACCCGCTTTCTCCTGTTGCAATACAAGATAAAAATGTACATAGATCACCTTAGGAAACTTATTTAATTTAAGAATATATAGGGTGCACCAAGTATTCTTCTATGTATGGGTATCTTTTTTTTGAAGAGCTATAATGTTGGTTAAATTAGAAAAAAGTGATTACAAATCTATTAAAATGACATTTAAAAATTGAAAAAAATCTATGGTTCTCAAATAATTATAAAAAACTGAAAACCTGTCTACATTAAAATTCGTTTTAACTTTGTTATTCCTGGGAATTTAAAAAAGTAAGTTTAAAACGTAAACATATAATGTATGTTTATGTATATTTCATCAAATTTGTCAATTAATTCGCCTACTAGATTAAATCTAGTAGATTCCGACTAACCACCATCTTTACATGATTAGATAGAAAATCAAGGAAGCCAACGGTGTATTAAATAAACTACATTATAAAAACAAAAAATCTGTTTTTTTGAAATTTTCAAGAATAACGATTTTTGGTTTTGAAAGGTTTTTAGTTTTATTCAAATATTTTGAAAACGGCCGACTTTTTTCCAATTTATAAATTTCATTCTTATAGGCTTGTACCCTGTAGCTCTTCAAATAAAAATAAAAATAAAAATGTGTGTTCTTATTCAAGAGCCAACAAACAATTAAAAAATAAACAAATAAATAAACAATTAAATTTATAAATCCGAATCAGCCACAAAAAATGTTTTTTTTTTAATAATTTTTTGAATTGGAAAATTTTAGAGTAAAAGACTAAACAATATTTATTTAATAAATAAAATAATCTTTTTAACAAAGATCAAATCGAAAAAAAAATTGGAGAGGCAACTTTTCTTAAAAAAATTGTTTTTGGAGTCTTTAAAATTAAGGCACGATTGTTTTAAACTTTATTTCCCTGAAATTATAATATAATATATAATTATAATATATTATACATTATAAGGATTTAAATAATACTTATCCAAACTCATTTTTTTATTCCAAATTTAAAATTTGCAAAGGAATTGGGAATTAAAATCAAATTATAATAAATACCTAATTAAATCGAGATTTGCTCATTTTAGTCCATTATAGACATAGGTTATGTTAACACACACCTATTTATTTATTTATTTAACCTATATATAGGCATGCACCTTTATACATAAGAAAATATCTTGTATATTCTATGCATAATTATAATTGTGCCAAATTTATATATTAAAAACAGTGAAGGAACTTTAAAATTAAGGCCCCTCTGCAGATTTACACGGTAAAGGGTAAAAGAGGGCGAACATAGAATAAGAGAAACGGCAAAAAATATAGACAGGCGGACCTTTTGCAGGCGCAGATCCAGTATTTCGTTTGGGGGAGTCAATTTTTGTGTAATTTCACCTATCGTCCCAAACAAAAAATTTGATAATATTTTAGTTTGTTATCGATCCATGTAATACTTATGCTGTTTGCCTGTCTTCAAAAATATGATTTAAAAACAAATAGTTAGGTGGTATAAAGAGGAAAAAAAACAAAAATAAAAACAAATTTTGAAATTGGTCCAAATAAAGTGCTTCGATCGTGAGTCGGGGAGGGGGGGGCAATTGTTGTGTTATGTTTAGATTTGTTTCCCCGGTTGTGTGTGATGATTTTGTTTTTGCCCACAAATTTGGATTTAATCATTTTGAGGGGGTGCTTTGTAAACCGTTGGAAAGCATAAGTCAATACCCAACTTTTTGGCAAAGAAAGTACCTAGGTATATTGATTCCGTTTAAAACAGAAAAATTATGAAAAATATTTTAGGAGATTTGAAAAAAGTAAAAAAAATGTCGCCGGTCGTGTTCCATCTCGTCAAGTCTAAATATGAAGTAAAAGCAATACAAATTTAAGACCATTTATTTATTGATTTTTTTTATTTTGTAACAGTTTCAATTTACTTAAATTTCACCTAAATGATGAAATTTCACCTAAATGATGGCTCAAATCGCAATTTCAATTTTTAAAGATAATAATAATTAAGTTAAAAATTAGGCATTGTCGGGGCTTTTAACTTTTTAATTAACAAATAATAGGTACCTATACATATTTAATGGAGTAGAAGCATTCAGGCATTATTCTATATCGCATGTAGTTCGTCCCAGTCTTGCACACTGATGTGTCAATAATGTGAAAAAAACAATAAAAACAATAATTTCCACACCTGTACATTAAGTTGCGATAAATTAATGTGGTTTTCAGATTAGATTATGTAAGAAAAAGACCCATAGAGCAGAAATCCACCACAGTGCTAGTGAAAGTGTTACCCGAATATGTCTGCAAAAGATCGTAGACTTCCAAGCGTTAACTAACACGATGCGGACTAGTTTGTTGGTTTGTGTTACCCTTTTGCATTCGGCATTCGGTTTTTTGGATAAACAACGTAAGTTTTTGAATTTATTTTTTTAATAACATAAGTTTTTCTTACTTAAAAAGGACAAACAATTTAAACTAAATTAAAATGTTTGCCAATAGGCGATTTTTCTTCCCAAGCAGTTTTTTAACTTTTATAAACCCTAAATACGTAAAATGTAGTTTATATAATATTAATATTTATTAAATTTTTTGTTTTTTTAATGATTTGTACATTTTACACACCTACATATTTTTTTATTCAAAAAATTCAAAATGGGGGTTACTATAGTGGTTACTTCCAGAAAAGGTTATGCGAAAGGCGTTTACGATTTCTTATCAAATATTGATGGATTTCTATGATTACACTCTATGGCTAAAACCATAACAATTTAAAAAAAATAGCAAATTTTGAACCGTCAAAGGAAAATATAAAATGTGTTTTTATTTATTATTTTTCTTTAATTTGTATTTATTTTTATATGCTTTAATTTGTCAAACATGGTTGTAGTGCTATACCCAAAAATAGCGATAGTAGATTCCCTTATATCCTCAGAGCGTCGTTAGTTAGTGAATTTTATCTAGTTTTTCAATGTATACATGGTCTGTTCCTGGGCATTTTCCGTTGTTCATTTAATGTATTTTTTCTTTTTTCGCCAATTTCCTTGATTTTATTAATTCAAATTTAGTTTGGTCTTCCCCTTTTCCTTTGTCAGTCTTACCAGCTTCTATGTATTTTTTACTGATGCATTTTTTTCCACCCTACCTATATCTTTATACCATCCCAACTGTCAATTTTCCTTAAGGTCTTCTTGTTCTAATAAATATAATGAAAATAAAATAACTTCTGCAATTTTGCGAATTCAAATAAATGGTAAAGGAAAAGTTGACTCGTTTGGTCCGGTGATTTGGCGACACCCTGTATATTTACATTTGTTACATATTTAAGATTTTTTAAACACCACTTAAAATGAAATACCCACAGTTTGTTTCATAACGTTGATTCAACATCGTTGAATAAATATTAGCATTAGCATTAACAAATTTAGATTCTGCAACCTGCAATAAAATGGTGTTAGAACCTTAATTTTATTTATTTTTAATTATAGGTAGAAAAGAGCATAAAATAGTTTTCTAATTTATTCGACTTTTTCAGCAAGTTATATAAGCACTTGTCAAATCAAGAACAATCCAAATTTTTCAAATTGTTCCACACATTCCGTGCAAGGTCTATTCGATGAAATACCAAAAGGAATTCCAGAAATAGGACTAGAGCCTTTAGATCCCTTAAAGGTTGATAAGATTAAGGTAACCATATATTATTAAGATTAAGATAATTAATAATTGCATTTCAACTATATGTGATTGAAATGATCAAGTATATATACTTGACCTACATACTATAATATTTCCAATGTATATTTCACATAATCTTTTTGTTTGAAATAGGTACATGGAAGCAATAAGAATTTAAATAAATAGGGGGCAAATCGGTCATTGTCATCAACACTTTAAGGGTCTGTGGATGAACCCAAAAAATAAAAAATCCTAAATTTTAGCACTTTTTATACATTTTTTTGGATTTTACAATTGAGATTTTTTGTTTTAGAATATTTTGAAAATTAAATATTTGAAAATTTTCAAAAAATGCACAAATATTTTTTTAAGCTGCCTTTCGAATATAGATATTTTTGGATTGCGAAATTCCACTTTTGCATTTAAAAATAAAAAATCATCAATCGGATTGAGAAAATCCTGTATACCGGGTGTATCTGGGAATAGGCGCACCCCTGTAACTTTTTTATTTATAGACACATGAAATTTAGCATGGTTAATAAGGATATAAAATGCCACTTATAAGAGTACAAAATGAATTTATTGAACTGATACCAACTTTCGATTTTTAAATGGAATGCCCTATATATTTTTACATATTTGAAATCCTGAGGAATTTCTGAGTCAGACAGCATCCTCAAATTTACCTTTTGATCACTCTAGATTGATCTTTATGATGATACATTTTCTGATGACGAAACGTCAAAAGGTCAATTTGAGGATGCTGTCTGACTCAGAATTTCCTCAGGATTCCAAATATGTAAAAATATATAGGGGTGTGCCTATTCTCAGATACACCCGGTATAGTCTATATTATAGACCCTCAAAATTTGAAGAAAATCGGAGAAATTGATGTTAATATCTGTACCCCAGAGCCAAACTGTATCAAGTCCAGTTTTTTTCAAAAGTTACATTTTATCTGTTTTCCGCTCTTTCCAATGTTACACCGGATTAAGTCCTGGTTTACTTAGTTTTTGAAATGGCAGTGTAAAAATTATATTAAGTCCACACCCTGCTTAAGGCAAAATAGTGCAATGAGCCATTGCTATTTTTTGGTTCTAAGAATTTTATAGTTATATACTCGTAGTAGGTATTCCCGTAATACTGTTTGGCTCGACAATATTCAAACATTGAGTAAAGTGTTCTTTACTCAATGATTCAACTGTATAATAATCGTTTGTGGTACTTAATATTACTTATATTAAATTATTTTAGAGCCATATAATTTTATGTCCAGTTGTCAAGTATCAAGTCAAAAAGTAATTGTTTTAATTAAGCCAAACAGTATTAAGGGGTTGACTTGTTTAGAAAATTATGGTATTAAGTCACTTAAATATTGTGTAAGTCCAGTTTGTTTTATAATATTGAACAATTTCAAAAGTGTTTTTGTTTTGGGGTTCATTATTTCATAATGTTATTATATCAATAGGGAGTAAAACACAATAAAATTATTACTTACATTGTTTTGTAGCAAAAATATACAATTTTTAAGAAAAAAAATTTAACAATTATTTTTAGGTCAATTGTTTGTTTTAATGGTAGGTGGCCACCGGTTTTTTATGTTTGCTTCTTTTTTAAAGTTACGGTGCATATTTAAGTTAACTATCTACTTAAATTGTTAAAAATTATAGGCGTCATTAAATAAATAATGACATTTAATTGTCTAGGATTTGGCAATAACAAAATCATAAATTATACACAATATTTCATAACTTAATTTAACGAGATATGGAATAAATTAAAATTATCAACAAAAAAATTTAGATTCAGACTGGCCCTAACAAAAATAAAATATTTTTTTTAATTATTTTTGAGACTCATCTTTTAGTTTTTAGCGGCTCGTGGTCAGTCAAAGTAAGCAGGTTACTAAAGTGCAAGTGTTGTAAATTTTTTTTTAAGAAAAACTAGTATAAAATGTTTTGGCGCCCAGAAAAGGCAAATAGGTACCTAATATAACTTACAAATACTTGCAAGTATACATGTATTTTGTTTTGGTTAACATGAAACAATTGGAAGAAATTAAAATGGAGAGATGTATTATATTATAATACCTAATCTCCCCACATTTTAATTTTTCCATGTTAACCAAAACAAAACACCACAAAATGTAAATGAACAAAACGACACGAACGTTGAGTGAAGAATATATTAATCAATGGTTCTAATGATCCTGATACAGATATCGCTAAAAGCTGTTATTTTCAAAGCTAGGTAATTATAACTATAACAAATAAATTAAGACAGGAATAGTTACTCATAAATACACTACGTCAGTTTTATCATTAAATGAGAAGGCTTTTAAGCTCTTTATCTTATTTCTTACACGGCGAGTTTAAATAAGCGCTCAGACGGTGACCGCTTTCAATTATTTCATCATAATTTGCGGAATGGTATGTGATCTGAGGCTAGCCTCCACGGTATAAGGTATACCACAATCCATTGGATTGTGAGGTATACCTAATTGTTTTTGAAGCCCGCGTCGCGACGCGTCGTGTCCGGTCGGTCACGGTCGTGAGAACTTGCCACTGAATTTGCCGATATATCTCTAGTGAATTATAATTAAGAAAATTTTAAAAATGTTTTTTCTTGGTTGTGGTATGGAAATGTTGATGTCAAATTTGCACCATGCACTGATGGACCAATCACCGAAAATCATCGAAAACGTTAAGCCTTACAGCGTACCTACACATTGCTAAAAAACTAAACATTTATCACCAAGCAGCATTTGCAGAAGACCTATGTTAGGAAAAATTCATGGACCAAATTTCATTATATTCGTCTAAAAAAAAAAGAGTAAGCTTCATTGGTTAATGCGTATGCCATAACCTTGACCCATCGTACGCCAGAAACCACAAAAGTTTTTCACCAATGGATTTTAGAAAATAAATAAAATGTTTTAATGCATTATGTGTAAAATTGGCGAAAATTTTTCGAGTACCTTACATTAGGGTATCCCACTTTTACTCATGTATTTTTTTTAAAGCAGAGGTGAAATTAGGTATGTTTTTAGTAAAAAAAGTGATCATGAATATTTTTAGATTTAAAAAAAATATTTAAAGGTTGCTAAATCATTTTTTTATCAAAAAAAGGCTACAGTTAACCTTATTATTTTTTTTTTAAACAGGGATTTTCAAAAATTTAAAATCTATTCTAATCTATATAATAAATAACAATATTTAAAACAAACATTAAGAGTGTTTTACATGAGTGGCCTAGTGTCTTGCGTAACCTCCAATTTATTAGTTATGAAATAATAAGAGACAAAGTAAAACAAAACTTATGCATATCTATTAATGTCAGCATCATATAGGTTACAATAGAGGGATGGGCAACATAAATATTTAAGTAATTTTAGGAATATGTGCATATGGGCTAGGCATGGAGGCACTAAAGCAATCATATATTATATTGTATGACAATGTAACATTTTTAATAATGTATATCCATAATTTTAAAAAATATTTTGTTTTAATTTGATTTTCGTCAGTTTATAACTATTTTTACTTGATTTGCAACAAATGTCGTTTATACATTTAACTGATTATTAAAATTTAAATTTTAGTACTTAAAATTATTTCTAGTACAAGTTATAACTATAGACGTGCCTACTACTAAACGTGCCACCTACTCGACCTTTTTAATACTTAGAATACCTAGAACTTTATGTCACTAATATTTTACTTTTTAATAAATTACGTTAATTTTTAGATTTTACAAGGAGGTGGAGGAGCTGTAACAGTCAACGCATCTTTAACAAACGTTACTGTAATTGGTTTTGGTCACACCAAAGTGGTTCACAATACTGTCGACAATAAAACATACGATTTCCACACAAAACTGCATCTTGATAGGTTACGTATTGACGGAAATTACGAGCTTTTAGGAAGAATTCTTGTTATCCCTCTCAGAGGAAAGGGTGCTTGCTGGTTTGACGCAAGTACGTTAAAATAAATTACTTTTTTTTAAATTCCATCACTAATTACTTTTTTATGTTTACGCATGGCATTTTTACGATTTTATGCTAGCAGAAAATTACTTTTGGTGAATTGCCAATATGTATATTTAGAGCATAGGCAAATGGATCGACGAATTACATATTTATATTTTGAATTAAGGTTAAATACGTGGGATTTTCTTGAAAATAGAAAGATCTTTCTAGATCCATTTCATTTAAAACAACTAATACTTAAATATAATAATAAAACAATACTTATTTTTAAATCATCCATAATATAATATCCTCAATATATACAGTGTTTTCCAAATTGTTTAATGTTTTGTTTTCAAGGTTTTTTAAATTGATTCTTTTAAAATTTATATAATAAAAAAACAATGTACTAATAACGTTTTTCTAAAATTTATTTTTTATATTATACTATTTATCTAAAAATAACCGAGATACCCTTACTTAGGCTCGAAAATCGGACACTCTGTATATTTAGGAGTAAAAAATTAAATGTTTGCACGAATAGATTCTATTTTAATTTATATATCTTTACGTGACAATATTTTTGATATAAAAACAAAAAGGGAATAAAAAGTGTATTATTATTTATGAAAATTTAATTTAAAGATATTATTATGCATAGTAATATTAAATTATTGAATATAAAAAGAGAAAATAGTATTTTATTATACGAGAGATAATGCAGGCTCGGATGATCTAAGTCTCTCGTCTGGCGACTCGAGACACAAATCTCATTCTCGTGAATAATGCTTTATCTACTCCAATAAGTTTAATTGGTTATTAAAAAAGGGGTATAAAATAAAATGGAAAATGGAAGAATTAATTAATATAGACTAAGAGATACTAATTCTTAACAGTTTTGCTGGCTATGACAATGTAACATAAATTAACAAATAAATATATAAAATAAAATCCAAAAATAAAAAATTTCAAAAATAATTAAATAAATCAAATGGTTAACCTCACTTTATACTAATTTTAAATGTTATTATAGTCGTCTTTTCCCAATTTAAACCTGATTGGTTCAAATCATAGTGAATATTGAAATCGGTCAATCACTGATGCCTAACAACGTGAATAATGTTAGGCAGGGAATTTATAATGTTTGTCATTATTGACGAAAAAATTCCAATATTATGCAATAGGAATAGATAAAAGTCAATATTTACATTTATAATAAAACATAAAACTAATGTAATATTAAAAAATACCATAAAATTTAAAGAACACTATCCCGGCGCATTCGCCATTTTAAACTAGGTGATTTTTAAATTTTGGGACAAATACTACAATATTTATTTAAATATAAAAAATATTAAAAAAATATATAATAACAAACCATTTTTTACAGAGGACCTGGAGATATACGCTAAGAGTGATGTAAAGTTAATTAAACACGATGGTTTCCATTTTTTCAATATCTCAGCTGTCCACGTCAAATTTAGCATTGGAGGTTTAAAGTTGCACATGGGCAACTTGTTTGACGGTATAAAAACTTTAGGTGAGGATATTTTTATAAAAGCATCATAAATAAACTGCTTGACCGTGATCTAATTTCGTATTTTTGTTTGTTTATCATCGAAGCTTTATACCGAGACAGACACAATGTTGCAATCATTCACAAGTGGTAGTATCTCCATTTGAAGAGTTTCTATAGAATGTCCTCAAAATTTAATATGTTAATTTTTTTAAGGCATCGGATACATTCACAAGTAATTCCAGATTTTAGTTAGTTACATTTGTTTTCATGCATAATAATTAATTTTTAAGCTATCAACATTAACCTATCTGTAGAAAATAACACTTCTGCATAAGTGATATTCGCTAAAGAAGTATCGGGTTTTTGCAACGCGCGCGCTATCTAGTGGACTTCGATAGCATTGTGTGAATTTAAGAATTGTCAACAATTCATTTAAAGCATAAGAACTGCACATTATTTTTAAATAAATAGGTAGTTTTTTCACAAAAGAGAGTAAAGGCAGAAGTCTTACTCGACAAATGTTGTCCAATTGCACAGCTAAATTGCGCACGTTATTTGTGTTTTACGTTACAAGGAAAAAACTAAAAAACTGGTTTAGTACTCGATTTCGATTGATTAAGAAACTCAACGCTTAAATGCTTATATAGTAACGTTAGTGTGTGTATTTTATTTAAGGGATCATGGTGAATTATTGAATTATTGTGTTTTTAATTGTAAATAAAATTCAAGAACCAAATCGTTGCATTTTCATGTTTTGGCAAAGGATCCAATTCGGTAAGTACATTTGTTGATGCAGAATAATATATAATTTATATTTAAGTTTGGACAATTTTGAGAAATTAGTAAAAAATAATTGTTGCACAAATACAACCTTAAAAAACGCCGGCAACAAAATATACCTACGAAATCATGGCCACATAAATAATACATAATATAATGATATTTTACCGTTGAGTGGAGACTTTCTTAATCAACGCTTTTAATAATGATAAATGCTGTTTGAATTTAGTCGACTTATTTGTTTGACGATTTTTACTAAATTGAAATGTTTACACTTTTCACTTTAATCATTACTAAAATGTGTATTTATTGTATCTAATAGATACAATTTATATTTACAGGGACTGTATGAAATTTATTTTTTCATTCGGATTAACACTGTTCATTGGAAAACCGGTAAAAACTCAACCCAGGATTTCTTCTCGAAATACACCCAACAACACAATAAATCGTGCAACTGTTTTTTTTTCGATATTTTTTAACATTTTCCGGCTTTATTCTCAAAAACATTTGTTTGTAACATAAGCGTTTAACAGCTGATTATTAAAAGTTGTTGTTTTGTTACGATGATAACCGCCGAGTGGTGGCGCTACTAGCGATGCTTCTTTAGCGTATTTTCCACAGATTTTTTGGTGTAACGACCTAGTGTTATTTATTTATCAAACTCTTCTTATGAAAATACTACCTTAAAAAGTGAGCGTAAAATATATTTGCGTACAATAATTTTCATAAAATACCACTCAAAAGTCTATAAAGAAAGACTTCATATTAATTAATTAATTACCTCGAGGCCTTGCACACAAACTACTGCCTCGGCTATGATTGGCGATAATATGTGCTTTCTCCACCTGGTCTATAATTTATAGTAGCTAACTAACCTTACTACCGGTTATCACTACAGTGATTATAGTTTTAAAAGCGAAAGCAAAAATGGTAAATATTGTATGTTTCTTTGCTATTCACAGCCAAAATTCCGTGTCCTACTATTTTTCTAAAACCGTTAAAGGGTTTAATTTTTTAATGATAGGCGTTACATTTGTTTTGTTTAGAATAGTCGGTGAGAATATGTATTTTTTACCTTAACGTCGTGCGCAATTATAACATTGGCCCACTAGGGTGTAAATGACCAAGTAAATTGACAAAATTTGTCAAAATAAAATTGACATTTATTTTGATAAAACATACCTAATGCAACAAAAAAATAAATATTAATTTTATTATTTGAAGGGGATTCCAAAACTTGGCTTATCCATATTAGTTGATTTTGAGCAAAATTTAAAAAACCTAACACGTCAGTAGTACTGACTCAGTACTAACGCTATCAGGCCAACAGAAAAACGTTTAACGAAAGATATAGACATAAGTATAAAATTTATATACCTTGATTAAAAAGGTATAACTCCAATTTAAAATAATTTAAAATTACAAAAGGAATAAAGCGAGTTCTGGAGCGACCAGTTGAAAAAGTTTAGGAATAATCGGTTTTGAAATAAACAAGTTTATTTTAGATAAAAAATTGTTAAACATTTTTTTTTTTAATTAAAATAAACTTAAATTCTAAGAGAAACTTTTTCTTACTGTCCCCCTTCACACAACTTTTTTTTCTAAATATATGACACCATGTGGGTTGCATCAGCAATAACAGCAGATGTCAATTGGAATCATCTATGATTCCAATTTACATTCGCTGTTATTGCTAGTGCAACGCACAGGCTGTCATATTTCCAAATATATATTGTTATTTTTGTTATAAAAACCATCCCAGCGTATGTCAATTGACAAATTTAAATTCACACTTTTTTCTTTTTACAAGCAAACACTGTATCCGGTGTGTTTGCTTTAAAACAATGTACCTTTTTAAAAATTATGTTTTATTTATTCACGGTATTATAATAAATCTCTATTAGCAAAGACACTGTTTTAAAGCAAACAAATCGTCTTCAAGTCTTCGCATGTAAAAAAAAGTTTAAATTTGGCATACGCTGGAACGGATGTCAGTTATTTTAAAATATTGCAGTTAAAGTGCTCAAAGGTTGTCAACGACGGATATTTCTATGGAATTGATTAAAGATGGTCGAAGTCAAGTCAGGGGTTATATATAATATCAAACACTGCAAAATTCAAAAAATTTTGTAAGCAAATTCCATCACATTTATGATAAATGATTTATCATCATTTTCGTAGTTCAGTTAAAATGAGTAAAAATCTCATACCTTATATTATTGCTCAATTACTAGATACATTGAGATCTCCTTTTTTCAAAGGAATAGTTTAATAGTTATTTGTTTTACAAGTGTTCAAAAGCGACTTTTTCATGCGAGTGTAAGTTGCTCACGAGGCCGTCAGGCCGAGTGTGCATTAACACGAGCTTGAAGAAAGCTTTTCTCACAAGTGAAACATAATGTTTTTTCTACGGCTCTTTTATTTTTTATTATATTCAAATACAAAACAAAATAACCTAAAAACGTGTTTGACAGCTGTTAAAATTACATTCATCTTATTCTTTTCATTTTTAAGGTATTAGTTAGGTACATAAAATAAATAAACTTAGAATTTATTATACAAACACAATTAATTGTGTTCTAAATGATCTTTAGACATACACATACAAATACAATACAAATTTTGAAACGAATGTCAAACGATGCTGTCAATTTCTTTTCACACAGAAATGTCACTTTACATTCGTGTTTTGCATTGCCAATGAAATGATTCATTTTCTAAGCAACGATGCCATTACGAAATGTGACTTTTACATACCAGTGGTCGTTTTTATTTCTGAAAATGTTACCTACTCAACTGGAGTTTGTTGGGTTTGATAAGACCCGTATTAGACACATAGCGTTGACTTCGACAATCTTTAATCTTCTAAACGTGTAGCAATGCTTGGGATAAAGTATTTGTGTTAAAAAATTACTAATAACACTTTATACGAGGCGTTGACTTTAAAACAGCGTATCTTCGTTAATAACAGAGATAATACTATGAATAAAACAACAAAAAGTTTTAAAAAGATAGGACTACAGTATAATTCCAATTGACATCCGCTGTAATTGCCAAGGCCCCACCAGGGTGTGACAAATTTCGGAGAAAAACTTCTTATAAGTATATAAGCGTTGAGTAAAAGTATCATATTAATCAATGATATAAGTATACTTTTCACCCTGTATATGCTCAAATTAAAATTAGAATAAAAATATCTACCATAGCATCGTAACTAAAGGGTTGGGTTTAAGTCATCAAAATCAGATAAGCGGTTGACGAGGAATTCAACATTAAAATTGTGGCAAATTTCTTTCTGCTGGTCAGTTTTTTGGCGGTGAGTATATATAGAGTTATTCTTTATAATTTGAGGTTATACTGCCGATTTAAACTACCTTTTTTTAATAGTTGCAACATTGTACGTTTTATAATAAAGCTAAATTTTAAGAAAACACACAAATCTAACAAAAAATGATCTGAGACCTAATCGGCCAATAAAACGCTTGCAAATTTAATATGTTCTATTTTCAGAGGATTCCACAAACGCCTACTTGAATGCGAATTGGAGGCCCGTGGCGGAATCGCTGAATCCGATACTTTCGAAAACTATCGAGGACATTATGATCGACATTTTAAAAAAAGTTTTCGACAACACTCCAGCAGACTTTTTCCTTTCCGATCTGGACAAAATATAGTATCAGTGTTTTTTAAATATTTAGTTGTTTCCAAATTATTTATTTCTTAATTTGTTGACTTTATATTAATAATGGTAGTTCATAGGGCAAAGAAATGTGATTATATAATTATTAAAATATTATAAAAACCAAATAAATTAAATATACATATAAAACAATTTCTTTTTGTAAAGTCACATGACAAAATTAAAATTACTTTTTGAGGAACCTTCTTACAAATCCCGATCAAAAATTAGATTCCACCACGCCACTGCGCGTAATTTTTACCATTTACATAATAAATTTTTACCATTATACGCGTTGCTTACACTTTTAAGTTTAACAAAGAATAAAAAAAAATGCGACAAATTAAACAAGTAAATTATAAACGGTTTAAAAATAATGACAATTTTAGCCCAATTAAAAAATACCTACTAACAGAAGAAAATACAAGAAAAAGTATAAAACTCCTTCATTGACAAGCTGTGACCTTATGGCGTTTTAGTCACTGGCTGAAGTTATATTATAAACTACGAGGTGTGTTCAGAAAATATCGGAAATTTTCGTTTTTTGAAAAAAATATTTATTTATTTGTCTACATTTATGTTGTCGCCTTCAAAATAGTCCCCATTGCCAGCTCTTCTTCCAATACTCGAAACACTTCTAAAACTCGATCTTTGGGATAGCCTTTAGTTCTTTCAGCGATGCGTTTTTAATGTCATCTATGCTTGTAAAACGACGGCCCTTTAAGGTTCTCATTATTTTTGGGAATAGGAAAAAGTCAGACAGAGGCATGTTTGGCGAATATGGAGGCTGGGGCATCATTACAGTATTGTTTTTGGAAAAAAAAAATTGGAACAAATTTTGCTGCGTTACATACCCAAAACATTCGAAAAAATTTCATGGGATGAGCCAATCGATCTTCAACGTCTTCACGGCCATCTTGGAAACTCTTATACCACTTGTAAACTCTTGTTTGACTTATAGCAGACTCACTATAGGCCTTTGTTAACATTTCACAGAATTTATTTCATTTTTTTAAGCAAAATTGGATACAAATTCTTTGATCCATTTCTTTTAATGAACGAAAATCGCCTAGCTCATAAAAACACGCCTAACCTTAGCGGCTGCCACAGACAAAGTAAACAATGAAAACAGCTAAAGTTTTTATCATACTTCGGGGGCATGTATACCAACATAATAAAGAAAATTTTATGACAACCGGACCCTCCAAACCCGCGAAATTTAACAATTCCCGTTATTTTCTGAACACACCTCGTAGAGAAGACAGGTTAAATCCCTTTGAAGTTGACAGATATCAAATATTTAACAAACAAAATTAGCTTTAAATTCTTCGTTGTGTTCGTCGTAGATAAAGCTCGTGCCCAATAAAACTCATAATTAAAAAGGCGTTTATAAAACTTGATACATATGGGTAGATTTTGCCTTTTTTGTAATAATGGATAAAGGTATAATCAGAAAATTTTATTTATTGTTTATTCCACACCCATTTTAATTCTTAACATTAACCGGTGGGCTAAACAGTACTTCTTCTAGAAGTAGTAAAATTGAAAAACAGTGAGGTTAAATCTGCTTTACAGCGGTCAGATGTCGGATAAGATATAAAAAAGGCTTTAAATAGGAATGTGGTAGTTGAATAAAATATTGTGTGGGAATATTGGTCAAAAGAGGAGATTCCACTCGCGTTTTACCTTACTCGCTACCCTCGTGCGGCAAACTTCACGCTCGAGGAAATCCTGTCTTCCACTAGTCGCACAATACATATTTATTAAACTTCTTTTAATTTAGGTAGTATTTATTGAATAAAGCCCTAATTAAAAAATATATACCCAACTCTAGCCAATATTTCGTAAATATATACGATATATTGTCTTTTTCTTATTTGTTTTATTCCAAAAGTATTTCGAAACTGTTGGTTTTTTGAATAGAAGTATAAATTTTTTATTTTTTTATGTAAAAACATTTTTGATAAATATTGTAGAAAGTAAAGCTTTCTTACATAAAAGCCCTAATTGATTTATTGAAGATTTTTAGTATTTAGCATTTTACTACTTTTGTCATCTTTAGATCTAGGTATTATTATTTTTAGCGAATATGAAACACTTTTAACATTGCTGAAATATTTTCAGCACAGTGTCATGTAAACACACGTTTAAAGATAGAACATGTGTGTCACTGAAAAACGTCAAAATACTTATTTTTATAAAGTTTACTTTTACACACACATTTGTAAAATATATACAATAAAATAAAAATCTTTGTATCATTTTAAAACTAAATAACTATCAAAAAAATTAGTTAATCAAAAATACGTGTTGATGAACAAATAAATCATTCGTGAAAGAAAACAGATGTTTTTGACGAACCTGCCAAAGTGGTCTAGATGGTCCAGGCATTTTGAGTTGGTTTGTCGGGAAAATCACTATCACCTGAAATCACTGTTTGAGATAAGCGGCACGCAGGTTGACTAAATTAAATTTTAGCACAAACGGTTCTTATAGAGTTCCTGAACCGTCGCCCACTTACTCATATCAACAAAACTGGGATTCCTTAGTCATCAACACGGGAATCTGCCATTTTCTTTCTGTTATTATGACGTGTAATTTGTTTATGGCAATCTGGAATATTCATGGCTCACCTTTGGCTTGGTTACAACAATTTTGAAAACAAACGACAAAAATAATAAGCATTACACGTTTCGAAATTTGAGAAATAACAAAAAATATTTATTTGCGTTGGACGTTTAACTACTTACTTATAAGTATACAATGTATATATGTATACTATTCATATATGGGACTAAATTTAAAAATTATATATAACATACCAACAAGTTTAAATATGAGTTTATAATTTATGTATATAAATTTCTCAAACGAATTCCATAAAGATCAATCTCAATTAACATATATGTTAATTGAGATTGATCTTTATGTTATAACATTTGAATAACATAATAAAGTGCGATATGCATTTGCGCTTTATTTGTCTCCATGGCAACAGTTCGATAAGTGCATGGCAACAGTACAACTACACACAAATATAAATAAATTTTATAATTTGAATTTTTCCTTAAATTTTCCAGACCACAGTATTTTTATAGGGAAAATTATACTTAGTGCAAATAAGTTTTTAAGAGTCGGCATTAGTTGCAGCTACAGTCAGCATTATTTGGCAGATATTAAAACTTTAGAAAATGCCGAGTATTAAATTCACAAAAAGATAATTAAGGATCCAAATTCAATTTTGTATATTTAAAAATCTTGAATTAAATAATTTTCGGAAAATTACCTGTTTTTTTTAGACTGTAACAAAAAAATCTTTTTTTTTATTAATGCCAGATGTTTTATAAAAAATATTTTCTCTGTTAATCTCGAAAAAAAAGTGAATTTTGACATAATTTTAATTTTAATCATAAATAACTTTAAAACGTGTTTTGTTATCAAAAAACGTTGGGTCATTTTTGCTAAGCATTAAATTATGGACATTTATGTATACCTACATACGGACACCCAATTTGGGACACCCTAAATACAGAGTTTCCCATATTGGTTGTCCGTATAGGCTATCTCAGTAAATATGAATTCTAAAAATCACGCATCCTCGTCCTCTTTTTAGAGGACTAAATGGCATATTTAAAAAAAAAAAATTTATCCATTGACCGCTGTGGTTTTCAGGCCTTAAGTCACTCTACTGTGTTAAAAATAGATAAATTTCGATATTTTGTAATAACATTTTTATTTAAAAACGTATCGATTTGAAATTGAGAAAAAATGTAGACCTTATTGGTGGTAATAAATCCTTATTGGTGGTAATAAATCCACGTTTTATTTTTTTTATATTTTAACATACAAAGGGGCGCTGGGGATAATTTAATTTAAATTGTTTCCATTTTTAAGGGTTAAAAAGTCGAAGAAGCAACGTTGTTTTATAATTTTAAGTATATCACGTTAATGTACTGATAATTATCAACCACGATACCTAATTTTGCCAAATAAAAACCTTGTTAAACAGCTTTAGTTTAGAACTATTTATAAAAATTTGACATTGGTAATATAATAGAACAATACCTATTATTTTGTAAATAAAAACACGGCAATTGTCCTATCCGTTAAGCGTGGAATGGCCCTTTATTTGTTCAGTAACTACATTTCTACCAAAAATATTGACGGTATAAATCGAATATATGCGAAAAAAAGTCTAAATTGGGGTATATGAAGCTAGAAAATACAAACGGCCATAAAAAAATAAATCGAGCTAACTTTTACAAACCCAGCGAGGGTTTTGCTATTGGATAGGTATATTTTCAGAAAAAAATAGTCCGGTGCGGTTTGATTTTTGGTGTTGCACAGTGTAATTAACTATTATTTTATATATAAACTTCTACATGCAAATTATGTTTCTACGAGAGACACCATTTTTAAGTTAGGCCTTCAAAGAGAATAATACTAAGGTGTTTTACAAATTATATATTCTTTATCTAGTTTTATAAGATGTAATGTATTATAATAATAATAATAATAATAATAATAATAATAATAATAATAATAATAATAATAATAATAATAATAATAATAATAATAATAATAATAATAATAATAATAATAATAATAATAATAATAATAATAATAATAAGTTTATTAGCCCACGGAAAAATCCAATAATAGGACAATAATAATAATAACAAAATTAATACATAGGTAATGTAAAATATAAGAATTAATATGATCTACGGTAAGTTATACAAAATTAACAATTTCATTTAAGGTACATAACATAACAATTATTTATATCACATAGATTTGAAATAGGGTCAGAATTTCTCAAACGGGCCACCTGAATTAGGTCAAAATTAGTTTTTGATTGTAGATACATTTTTTCGATAGTATTTTACATCACTAACACAAATCCTAAAGGATTTTGTAAAAAAAAAATTTCAATTGACATATTCATGATATTAAAAGTAAAAGTTTTTAGTAATTAAAAAATAAAAAAAAATCATTATGGCTAAACTAATTATCCGATTCCAACGATTTAACTAGCGTTGGAATCTTGTTTTGACATAGATTCTTTGTTATTTTTTTCAATTGTACAATTTTCATTTAGGTCGATTTTTTTTTGTTTTTTTTATAACAAATTCGGAAATAATTGGCTTCTGCGCCAGCTATCGACTCGAAAACAAAAACACATATACTCCAATCATTTTTCTACATAGAAGTTCTATGACAGAACATAAGCTCACTACAAAGAAGGTAACTGTAAAAAAAGTTACTGTTACAGTCTGTGACCATAAGAAAAAATTTTATACCGTTGAGTTGCACGCCCTGGATAAAATATTGGGGCAAAATTTAAAAAGAACACAAAAAAATAAAATAAGTAAAAATACGTGAAATAGGTGAAATTAAACTGACAAATTAAAAAATATGTAACAAAAGTATAAAAAGGTAGTTTAAAGCAAAAACTTCCAAAAAAGGTAAAAAAGGTGAAAACAAGTTAAAAAAATAGGTAACAAAAGTATAAAAAAGGTAGTTTAAAGCAAAAACATCCAAAAAAGGTAAAAAAGGTGAAAACAAGTTGGGTTTATATAATAGAAAATCTTTTAAAACACATTTTGGCATTATTGGTTTTCAAATAGTTACATCGGTTGAAAAAAGGTAAAATAACTAAAATCCCATCCCTAGTTATAACATTAGTAGGCGAGTAGAATGCAACATTTGTGCGACAAAATTGGCTAAAAAATGTGCAGTCGAATCTGGCGTTTAAACGTGGGACAAAAAATGCAAACTAGACAATAAAACATTTGAATCGATTAAATTATTTAATAATTTATATAAAAATACTTGACTGGCTATGAATCTTCTATCAGCCACTGAAATTAAGTTAAAACGAGTTAATAAAAGCGTATGGTCAAATCTTCTTGTTGGATAAATCTCCGCACTTTTTCTAATTGGGAGATGTATACATTGTAGTAAGGGTAAAAATAAGGCTTCTCGAGTTTTGAACGCACTAAAGAATAGTATAAAGTTTTAAGTGTTTCAATATTCCTAAAATCCTAACAGTTACGCATAATAAACCCTAAGGAGCGCATTGCTGAAGAACTTATAGCTTGAATATGTTCTGAAAATGGAAGTTGATAATCAAAAACTATGCCGAGATCTTTAAACTTATCAGTTCGTATAAGAGATTCATTATTTAAACTATTATCATATACCTATTATTATATATTACATATAATATATTATAAATAACATTTTACATTCATACATATTTATTTAAAAAAAATCACCATAGATGGAACTAAAATTAGTTTAATTTATAAATTTTAAATTTTCTCAAGTTTACTAATTTTGATCATAGTAGGCATCATGGACTTTTCTCTATGCTAACCTACCATTGGAAGCATGAAAGAACTTGACAGTTCAGTTTATAAGTTGCAAATGATTGCGTTTCAATTGAAATTAATTTATAAGTGTGCTATTAATTTTATTTTTTGCTCCACAACCCAGCTTCAATTTATTTTTTACTCTATAAGCAAGCTTCAATTTTAATTCCAAACTGAAGAAAGTAATATTTACCCAATAAATAAATTAGAATAAAGACTTTATTTTTTATGTTGCAATCGGCTATTTAGATATATCTATATTTTTTATTCAGTTATTTTTCGATTTTTTGTGGGTAATTAGTTATTTGGCATTTTTTATATTTAATATAATGCTATACAGGGTGTTTCTGGAGAAACGCAAACGATATGGATTTGAAATTTTAATAGCAGATACAATTTGATTCAGGCTATACCTAAAGTCAATAGTTTTCAAGTTATTAATTTTTTTGTTAAAATTTTGCTAAATGCACGTTAATCAAAAATAGCCTCTATTTTTTTTGTTATTACATTTGCTGACATGGGGATCGAATTTTTGGAATATTAAAACATTGTTTAAGTAATTTAATTTTTTAAAGGTTTAAAATACTTGATGAAAAATTAATCTAAAAAAATATTGACTTTAGATATAGGATATTGTATTTTATGTAGAATTAAAAAATGTAAAAATATATGAGGTGTCCTGTTTAAAATAACAAAGTTAAAGACATATCCGGTAAAACAGGAAGTATTATTTTGTTCAAAACAATTTAGGAAAAAGTCTAAAGCGAATAATGTCTTTCGCGATTCCCTAGAAACTTCTAACGGACTACGTACTTGAAACACCCTGTATATTAAACGCTATACTTAATTATTAATAAAAGATACAACAAATATTTGTATAAAAACGACAAAATGTACTAAACTAAACATTTATGAATACTGCTAGTAGCAGTCTGTTCCTGGCCACAGAAACATCATTTGCATAAAAAGTTAATATATCAAATAATAACATGTTATACTCAAATTTATAAAGCAAAGTTGCTTCTTCAATTATAAATAATAAATAAATAAATAAATAAATAAATAAATAAATAAATAAATAAATAAATAAATAAATAAATAAATAAATAAATAAATAAATAAATAAATAAATAAATAAATAAATAAATAAATAAATAAATAAATAAATAAATAAATATATAAATAAATAAATAAATAAATAAATAAATAAATAAATAAATAA